GTAGGATGGCCTTTTTGGCTCCTGACAGGACTGACATTCTGTAACCCAGAAGTTCCCTTTAATGTAGTACTTTACATTATTCCCCAGAGCGAGTGCTCCATCCCCCAACTCTTCAGTTCTTACTACAATCTTCGGAGATCCACACCCCCATTACCAACTTGATGAGGTTCAACAACTAACTGAAGGTCACTCAGCAAATCAGCAGAAAGGTGCACCTGGCCTGATTGCAGGGGCATGAGGCTCTCAGGCTTTTATCTCACCCTGCACTGTGTCTATTTAGTCAGAGAAAACTCACTAAGATTTCCAGTGCTTAAAAAACATTGCTTTGTTACTTGAAAAACATAATAACGGACTACACATAGTATTGGCTAAACTGCATGCTGTCTTGTTTTGTAGCTTGCCCCATGACCACAGTAATTTGTCTGGCCTTCGCCAGGCTTTGCCAGGATGTACTGACACCAGGTCACTAGTTTGTATTCTTTTTTTTTTTTTTTTAAGATTTTATTTATTTATTTATTTGAGAGAGAGAGAGAAACAGCATGAGAGAGGATAGGGTCAGAGGGAGAAGCAGGCTCCCCGCCGAGCCAGGAGCCCGATGCGGGACTCGATCCCAGGACTCCGGGATCATGACCTGAGCCGAAGGCAGTCGCTCAACCAACTGAGCCACCTAGGCGCCCACTAGTTTGTATTCTAAGGGCAAAGTTAATCACTTTGGTTTTGGCAAGACTGCAGACAGGCAACCAAAACAGAATGAAGGCAACAAACAAAGGAGGCTTACTGAGGAGAATGAGCTGGAAGGGGTCAGCTGGTGCTGAAGTAGTTATGGCTAAAAAGCTGCAGGAAGTGAGAAGGTAGACAGTGGTGCTTCCACAGCAAGCTGACTCACATCCTCTCTTTTTACATATAAACCACTGTCTGAATGAGTAATTATTATAGCACCTCACAGTTACAAAGCACCTTTACATCTAACATCTTGTTGGATTATCAGGATGGCACTGTGAAATACAACCCTGGCACACTGGCATCATCTCTAGGACACAGATGAGGACTCGGAGGCTGAAAGAGGGGAAATGGACTGCGCAACACCACACAACTAATACATGCAACAGCTTGAATCGAATCCCAACTGTCTTCGGACCCCGAATGCTCCCTCTATGCTCTATAGTCCCTGTATCACACTGCCTCCCAGGTTACTACAGATGAGAGACCTGGAGGGTGAAAAGGAGAGAAATTTAGCTGACTGCCTCACTGCATCCACCCCACGATGAAGACCTCTTTTTTTTTTTTTTTGACAGAGAGAATACAAGCAGGGGGAGCGGCAGGCAGAGAGAGGGAGAAGCATGCTCCCTGCTGAGCAGGGAGCCCGATGTGGGGCTCGATCCCAGGACCCTGGGATCATGACCTGAGCCGAAGGCAGACGCTTAACCATCTGAGCCACCCAGGCATCCCGAATACCTCTTTTTTTTTAATATTTTTTTTTAAATTTTATTTATTTGACAGAAAGAGAGAGAGAGCACGAGCAGGGGAAACAGCAGGCAGAGGGAGAGGGAGAAGCAGGCTCCCTGCTGAGCAGGGAGCCCGATGCGAGGCTCGGGGCTCGATCCCAGGACCCTGGGATCATGACCTGAGGCAAAGGCAGACGCTTAACGACGGAGTCACCCAGGAGCCCCTGAAGACCTCTTTTCATCTCTGGCCCTAAATTACACTGAGAAGTTAGGATCAGGCCAGAGGTGTAGGATTAAACCCTATGAAGTTAACAAGAAAGCACAGGTTTGGGACTGAATTCATCTTCAACCATTAAGTCCACTGAGTAAGGGAGATTAAGTCCATAAACAAATCACTACAGTTCAAAGCAGTATAAACATAAGCCTGTGAACGGGACAAATTCTAAGGCGGTTAGTTTCTCAACCTCAGCACCACTGACATTTGGGCCTGATAACTCTTTGTTGTGGGGGACTGTCCTTGCACGTTGTGGGATATTTAGCAGCATTTCTGGCCTCTACCCGCTAGATGTTAGTAGCACCCTCCTCAAACCACTGTGACAATCAAAAATGTCTCCAGATGTTGCCAAGTGTCCTCTGGGGGGCAAAACTGCCCCAACTTGAGAACCACTGCTCTACAGGTTATGGAGCTTTAGGGCAAAGGTCGGTTAATGCAGGCTGTGGGTGCTGAAAAAAAGTTTCATGGAGGAGGTAATATTTGAACTGGACCTTGAAGGAGGGATTAAATTCCTACAGATGAGGATGAGAGAAGGATAAAAAAAAGAAATTCCAGAAAGGGAGGAGAACTTAAAAGCAAGAAAATGAGAAAGCACAGGTCTGCCGGAAAATGTCCCAGTTTGGCAAAAATAGTTTCCTATTAGGAGTAAGAGATAAAGCTAAAAATGCCCATTGGAGGGTGCCTGGGTGGCTCAGTTGAAGGGGTCCTGGGATCAAGTCCCACATTGGGCTCCCCCTGCTCTGCAGGGAGCCTGCTTCTCCCTCTGCCTCTGCCGCTCCCTCTGCTTGTGTGCTCGCGCTCTGTCAAATAAATAAAATCTTAAAAAAAAAATGCCCATTGGAGTCAGGTCATAGATAGCTATCCATCAACTGATAGTTACAAGATATACACACATAATGAGACAGCCAACAATACAAGATATCCACAGATGTTTTAACAGCATACAAATCAAACCAGTGGTATTTCCATCTGTCCCATGTCCCCAGGAGGAATAATAGTGCTTGAGTATCATGTCTTAACGTTGCATCTAGTGTTCACTGCATTTAGAGCTAAATGAAGTTTGGAACCAGTGCAGAGGAGAAATGAGCAAGGACTGGGGTGATCCCAAAGGAAGTAACAATGATGGGCCTTGAATGGATAGGTTTTGTACAGCTGAATGGGAAAGAAAGGACATTCCATGTGAGCACATCAGGTTGGGAAAGAAAGAAATGTGAACATCCAGGAGACAAGAACCATGTGGCTGGAAAGAAGACAGGGCTGGTCAGAACACATGAATTAGACTTTACTGTGTGGACAGTAAAGGTTCCTGAAGAACAGAATGACACAGTTGTTTAAAATGTGGTCATCTTGTCCAGCTGTTCTCTTAGCTACACATCAGAAAGACTTGAGAAGCTTTGAGGAACATCAATACCCAGGCTCCAACCCTAAAGATACAATTTAATCGGGCAAGGGAAAGCACCAAGTATTGTTTTTAAAGTTCCATGGGGGGAGGAGGGGCGCCTGGGTGGCTCAGTTAAGCATCTGACTCTTAGTTTTGGCTCAAGTCATGATCTTGCATTTGTGGGATTCGGCCCTGTGTCGGGCTCCGCACTGAGCGTGGAGTCTGCTTCAGATTCTCTTTCCCTCTGCTTCTCCCCCTGCTTGCGAACTCTAATAATTAAAAAAAAAAAAAAAAAGTCCTATGGGTGATTCTGTATGCAGCCAGGGCTGAGAACCAATGGTCTAGAGTCAGGCCTTCATCCTCAGATGAGAAAACAGGCTTAGAAATTTAAGTGATTTGCCTAAATTCACACGACCAACTGGGTGTGGGGCTGGGAGTGGCACCTGGATTCCTATTCCAGGCTCTGAAAGATATCGCAGAGCACTGGGCAAAATTCCATACTCACTCTATAAGAAGCACAATTATTTGATGACTTGGCTCTTAAGTTTTGCCAGGGTTAAAGCCTGAATTAATCTAATCATAAAACTATTGACTTAAGCACCCCCTTTAGTGTCTAGGGTAATGGATGTTAGTTTCATTGCTGTCTCCTGGGGGCCCTTAGGAAAGGGTCTCAGGAGACTCTCCAGAAAGCCAGAAAAACAAGCCAAGCCACCCAGCAACACGGAAGAAACAATGTTTAAAACACAGCTCACTGACCTTTTTACTACCTAAAGGGAAGTCTGGGTTACTCCCCACCAGAAGAAATACCCTCAGAGGTGCTATCACATAAGCAAAGGTTGGGGAGGGGAGGGAAGTGATCAAAGGCAGCTGCTAAAGCATGCTCATAGACCTTCATTCTAACAGAAACACCCGTGCTGGTCCTCAGCCCTGGAAGGGCCATCTGCACACCCTGCATTTTTCTCAAAGGAAAACAGCAGCACCCCCTACAACAGGCCCACCTTCCTGTTGTGTGTCACTCCTTAATTCTGGCATGGCAGCAGGTGGTAAACAGGTTTGCAGAGACTGCTAAGCTGGGAATCTGAGCCTGAGCTGTATAATCATCCTATTCATTCCAGGGTACTGGTACAGATAACTACCAGAACACAGCAACGCCTATCTAGGGGCCTTCTTTTAATCCCAGACACCCACCAACCATCTGAAGCTCTAACACAGTGGTCATACTAAAGTAACTCTAGAAGCAGAAGCACTTCCCTCTGTCTTCCACTCTTGAAGGATACAACTCAGGATACCAGGAAAACTACTCCTGGCAAGGCTCTATTACATGCTCTTGGGATGGGATCTGGATTCCCATCAGCTATAAGACAGAATCCCTGAAAACAATTCGTTCTTTAAGACAGCCTGAGTAGAGGGGCCCCTGGGTGGCTCAGTCGTTAAGAGGCTGCCTTCGGCTCAGGTCATGGTCTCAGGGTCCTGGGATCGAGCCCCGCACTGGGCTCCCTGCTCCTCGGAGAGCCTGCTTCTCCCTCTCCCACTCCCCCTCCCACTTGTATTCCCTCTCTCGCTGTCTCTCTCTGTCAAATAAATAAATAAAATCTTAAAAAAAAAAAAAAAAAAAAAGACAGCCTGAGTAGAGATAAAGGACAAACAAGGGCTGTAAGATGTGGTAACTCAATACTCATACGAACCTAATACACTGAACCAGGTAACACGATAAGCACTTTAACCATTCATTGTTTCATTTTATTTCCCAACCCATTTATAAGATAGGTACTATAACCTTCCCCCACTTTACAGATGAAGAAACTGAACTTGAACATCCGCATCTAGAGCTTGGGCACGCCTCTATAACCAACTTTTCCACTTGATGCCAGCTAATCATTAATTCTGCTTATTTTTTCAGGTTTGGCTACCGGAGTTTACCAGGATTTTAATGACCAAAGAATTCTGAAAACGAAAAAGCACCATACAAAGTTGAGGTATTATGATCATTATTACCTTAATAGGAGAGCCCTGCACCCTGGATGTATCCGAAAAGCAATCTATCCTACCCGATCTAATCACCCAGTTATATTTTAGTTAACACCCTGTTAAAACTATGTCCCAACACAAAGACTCAAAAGAAGCGGTATCTACAAAAGTTGAAGAATGGCAGGAGGCAGGGCGCCTGGGTGGCTCAGGTCATGATCCCAGGGTCCTGGGATCGAGCCCCCACATCATGCTCCCTGCTCAGCAGGAAGCCTGCTTCTCCCTCTCCCACTCCCCCGATTGTGTTCCCTCTCTCGCTGTGTTTCTGTCAAATAAATAAATCTTAAAAAAAAAAAAAAAAAAAAAAGTGGCAGGAGAGGACCTGTCTCCAGAGCTTTCTCAACTGTAGAAATAAAGAGACAGTAGCCTGATTCCCCTCTTCTGCTCTATCTGCCAAGTATTATGGTTTCACATAAAATGGCTTCTGAGCTAAAATCTCGTAATTTAAAAAAGTATTCAACTTTTATCCATAAGTTGAAAGTGCAGGCTTAAAAATGTACAAGCACTGTAAGGATAAAACTGTCATTTTTTTTTTTAAAGATTTTATTTATTTATTTGACAGAGAGAGACACAGCGAGAGAGGGAACACAAGCAGGCGGAGTGGGAGAGGGAGAAGCAGGCCTCCCGCCGAGCAGGGAGCCTGATGCGGGCTTGATCCCAGGACCCTGGGATCATGACCTGAGCGGCAGACGCTTAACGACTGAGCCACCCAGGCACCCAAAACTGTCATTTTTAATAAACTATGTCTGTTTTGAAAGCAAATGATATTTGTAGGAAGATTACCATATGACAATTACCAATTAAATGAAAAGCTGACAAGACTTCTAAACTTAAGATATCATTATAAATAGGAAGCAACTTCATACAGTTTTTATGAGCTCCATACAATTTCCCTTATCCTGATTTATTGCATTAATGAGGGTTTAGGCTATCAAACTCACAGTTCCTACAACACAGTAACTATGGCCCCAGGCCTGAAACAGCGTTATCTTTAAAAAGATACTGCAAAACCTGTAACAACAAAAAACAAAATAAGAGGTAATAAAATAAAGTATAAAGAATGGCTGTATCAGAAATTTATACTTGATAAACTTGATAAACCTCAAACTAGACTGTGGACATTTTTAAGTGGTGAGGGGACTATAGTCAAATAATGTAGCCAAAGCCTGGGGGAAGCCACTCATTTACTTGGGAAATGAATTTTCATTTTCTATATTAAATCTCTGAGGAAGATAAAAAGTACAAACTCTAAACAAAAAGCTGGGGAAAACACCTACTCCATATCATATGTTCTTTACCAAGTATAATAGCACATGCTGTTTGGTAATGTAATTAGTGTTTATATATGTCAACTCAGAATGCAGTGAGCCACATTTCCTCCAAAGTACACCCCATTTAGCCATCAACAATGGGTATTTACTTAGGACTGAGAATATGTCAAACTCTCTGAGGTGCTATGGAAAACATGACAGAATTGTACCATCCCTTCACTGAAGAAATAAGATGAAGATACAATACCACCCATTTCTGCATGGCATTTAAGACATCCTCCGTATGTCTTAGTTAATTTCCAATTAATAAAAGAACAACTGATGGCAAAATTGTAGATAAATATTATAAATACAATAAAATTAGCATTGTGGTTAAGAATAAAAAATTTCATTTACCAAAAAAACCCCTGAAATCTGGTAAATACCCTCAATCTAGGTTAAGTTTTTGTGTGCTATTATTATGTCTCTTAAAAAGGGGAGAGGGGACTTGATTTAAAAAGGTCTTTCAGAATAGACAACTTGACACTCAGTTCTGCGGTAAACCCAATCAAAATGTTATCAATCTTTGGATCTGGAAGTCCTTGACACACCTTTTCCTTTTATCATCCCTGTTCAGGCTTGCCAATTTTTCTTCCAGAATCTCCCATTTGCCCTTTCTTTCTCTTTCTATCCTCACTTCTTGCCTGCATTTGCTCACTCACTCATCATTTACCAAATGCCTATCATCTGCCATGCACAGAGCTAGACCCTTATCCTTAGGAAGCTCACAGGACACTATGTAGAACTGTTATCTGCCCATTTCCATGACCAGACTGCAAGCTTTAGCAAAGGTTTTGTATTTCCAGAACCTAGTAGCATCTGGCATACAGTCTAAAAATGTTTATTGTATGACACTAGATCACTTCAGCAAGCTCTTTTTAAATCCATAAATATTTATATCTTCAAAAAGGACTCTTACTTTTCTTCCCTTTTTAATACAAAACTAAGATAGAAACGTATAGAATACAAAGTGAATTCTCCAACCCCCTAAATCCTACTTCCATGAGTAGTGACTACTATTACAGTTTGGAATCTATCTTTCCAGAGCTTTCCTATCCTGGTATATAACACACACTTTTATACTTTTTTGGAATAAATTCTTTGACAGTTTACGACTCTAACTTCTCAACTTTCAAATCCAGTTGAAGTTCTCAGTGTTGTTGTCCCTGGATTAGATGCATCAGCATCATCAGAGAATTTGTTAGAAATACAAATTCCCAGGCCCACTCTGGACCCACTAAATCAGAAACTCTGGAGGTGGGGCCCCCCACAGTATGGTTTTGTTTTTTAATTGTGATAAGCACCACGCCCAACATGGCTTGAACTCATGACCCAGAGATCAAGAGTTGCATGCTCTACCGACTGAGCCAGCCAGGCACCCCCTAAAATCTGGGTTTTAAAGTCTTCAGGTGATTCTAATGCACACCAAAGGTTGAGAACCACTATTTTAATCCCAAGCCACCCTAGCCAAGCCAGGTTTGTTTGTTTTTTTCCACCACCCTACTTCAAAATGACTTGATGCTTCCTTTCAACTTCAACTGTGTATGATTTTATGAAGTGTCTCATTATCGGGCGCCTGGGTGGCTCAGTCGTTAAGCGTCTGCCTTCGGCTCAGGTCATGATCCCAGGGTCCTGGGATCGAGTCCCACATCGGGCTCCCTGCTCGGCAGGAAGCCTGCTTCTCCCTCTCCCACTCTCCCTGCTTGTGTTCCTGCTCTCGCTATCTCTCTCTCTGTCAAATAAATAAATAAAAATCTATAAAAAAAAAAAAAGAAATGTCTCATTATCTTGTCATATTGTTGCTTATAATGCTATTATACCAATTTTTAGACTTGACTTGAGTTACAGCTAGATACAGTGTTTCCCAGTTAGCTAGTACGCTCTTTTAAAAGGATATTTTATTCAATAAATTATTCAACTGAAAGTAGTATACCATGCCTTATATACAGTAACAGCTTGACATATTTGCAGAGAATTATTTGGAAAAACTCTTTAAAAAGCTTCATTTATGTAGAAAACCTATACATAGATCTGCTGCCTCCCAAAGAGCCCTTTGAATACTTATTATTGCAAATAGTATGAAGTGATTTAAGGAAAAAACTCCAGTTACTCTGATAGCACCAGGGGTAGTCTGCCACGTAAGGCAAAAGAATGTAAAAATTCTCCCAGGTATCTAGGGATAGACTAAAAGGCCGTAAGCCTCAGGCTACCTTACTGCAACATGCCAGTAAGAACTATCCTGTACACTTATGTGGCATATACCAACTCCACTGTTGGGGTTAAATAGGCTTCTTGATGCAAAACCCTTATCTGCAAATTTACAGAAAACAGGGTGGAATGGAGACCTCTGAGTGACAGGTCAGATTCAACCAGAAGTTGAATCTAAAGGAAAGGAGAGCAAAGAGAAATTGAAGGGCAAGAAGGAGGAACAGAAGGGCAGCAGGAAAACATCACTCTGAGTAATGAAAAGGAACAGTGAAATTCAGAGTCTTTACCAATGGCCTACTATGAACCAAGCACTTGGAGCTGCAAAGCAGACTCCTGACCTCAAGGGGCTAATAGTCCTGAGGGTAAGACTGAAGCCTCTACCCTACTGTGTATGTATGTGTGATTCTAATTGGGAAAATCAAGCAAGGAAGGCTTCACAGAAAAGGTGGTGAGTTAATGGAGCTTTGAAGTGTATAGGAAGATTTGCTAAGGGAGAAAAAAAGACACTTGAGCTAGTTATTTTGGGGAAGAAACATTCACATATTTTTACAGCTGTTCCTTTGGGATTTTAAATCATGGAGGCTTCTTATATTCACCACCACTTTGTCAATGCCTTCTTTCTCTTGTTACTTTATCTTAAATACTGAGATGTTCAAGCCCAGCGTTGGGACAGAGCCAAAAAGCCCCAGAATGAGGTGAGTGCTCGCCAAATTTGCTCTGTCACCTCCAGATCCAGCCAGCCCAGCTAGCCCAGTGCTGCTTTCCTGGCAGCCAGAAAAGGAAGACTAATTATATCCTCTGGGGGGCCAGATTGGGGATAAAATTTGGAAGCGGGCAGACAAGGCTTATCCTTGTTCTGCCAGTGAGGTACCATGGGAGAGCTTCCTTGCCTCCTAAGCCATGAGGTTCTAGTCTGTCTACCTGTAACATGGAGGCCAGCTTCGCGGGGGAGGGGGGGGAAGCTGGGGACGCACTGGATTGGGAAATGCTGAGGTATTAAGTGAGATAATCATAAAATGTTTAATAATATCCCTGGCACACGGCAAGCATTGGATGAAGGTGAGCTCTTATCAACAACATACTACTACTACTATTATTATTACAGTAACACCTCAATTATACTCCAACAAGATATTGTTTTCACAGCCTACTTTTATGACGCTGAAGCAGCAACTCCAAAGATGCAAGTGTATTTCAAAAATAACTCCAGAAATGCAAGTGTATTTCAAAAAATTGTAAAGGTACAAGATCAAATTCTAACTGTACTGGCCTGAAAGCCCGAGACCCTGACTTCAAGAGCTAGCCCTTGCCCCTATCAGGCGCGTGACCTTGGGCACTGCACTTCACCTCTGTGCCTCAGTTTCCTCATCTGTAAAGTGGGGCTAAGAAGCCCCTCCCTCGCACGGTCATCGTGGGGTCCAGCCCGAGGGTACTCCTCGCTGCACCGGGGTCGCACGCACGCAAGGCGAGCTCCCGGCCCACCTTTCAAGCTCCCTGGCTTCGGGACGGGCGGGGTAGGTGAACGCCCGACCCGAGGCCCACCGACCTATGCCGCCTGTACGGCAGGAGCGGGAAAGGGGGGCGCGCTTAAGGTGCGTCCCTGAGACCGAGGGGGTCGGGCGCCCGGACCGCCCGCACGCTGTCATCCGCGGCTTCGCTGCCAGGCCCCGAAGCCCGGGCGCGGGGAGCAGCTGAGGGAGGCCAGGCTGACCCCGGTCCCGCCCGCGCGGAGAGCGAAGGGCGCAGGGGCACCTGGAGGAGGCTGGCAGCGCGAGCCGCGGGCCCCCGCGCGCCGCGGAGATTAGGCGCGGAGGGAGAAAGCACGGGGAGCGACGCCCCCGCAGGCAGCGCCGCGCGTCCCCAGCGGGCCGGGCTGTGGCGCTCACTCACCTGAGGCGCGGGCACCCGCCAGCAGTGCGGCAGCGGCAGCAGCAGCAGCAGCGGTGGCGGCTGTGAGAGGGGCGGGGAAGACTCTGCGGCCGCGCAGGCGCGCTGAGGGTGCCGGGGCCGCGCAGGCGCGCTGTGCCTGCCCCTTCGGGAACTACCGAGAAGATGGTGGCTGAGCCGGGAGGGCCCTGCGGCGCCATCTTGCCTGTAGTTTTTCATGTTGCGGAGTCTCCCGGGAGAACCTGAAAACTAGAGCGGCCCGGAGGGAGGGGCGTTGAGTGCGGCGTCTGGCCCGCCTCCTCCCCTTCCGCCAAATCAGATCCTTAATGAAGCTCTTAAGAACCAAAAAAAAACAAACCAAACCTTGCAAGGCAAGGAAGGCATCCTCCTTCTACGTGGACCCAGAGATGTACCCAAGGGCACATAGCCTAGCACAGTGCTTGGCTTGTGGGAGGTGCTTACCAAATTTTTGGTGAATGAGTACAGTTAACTGAAGAACTAGAATCCAAGATTCAGGGCTCCTAATTCCCAGTCCTCCATTCTATCTCCTTTATTACAACTGCCAGCCACACCGCCTCCTTTCTTGGGTGCCACAGAGAAATGGAGTTTTGGTGTGTTTTTGTTTTAAGAATGATTACACATTAAGCTTAATGACCCAACATATAACACCAAAATATCCCAGACATAATTCCCTCCCCAAAAGAGATTCTTGATTAATCTCACGGACTAAAAACTAAGTTAGGACAAACGGAAGGAATTTTACCAAACATGTCAAGGACAGCAACTGTCTGTAATATTGTTACTCGTCAAGCACAATTCCTGAAGGAAACTTGGGAAGAGGGGAAACTGAAGTTAACTGAGCACAGACTTTTATGATTTATGTTTATCCGTTAACATTTACGGAGTGCCAAATTGGTTCTACTATCTCTATGTCCTTGGTTAGATTATTAAGCCTCTGCTTGAATTCCTCTTCTAGTGACAAAAAAACACAAGCTACCTAAGTTGTGGTCTGTATGCATGTAAAATCCTCAGAGCTTGTATTATTTTTCTATGCTCTATCTTATTTGGCTGTTGAAGATGCAGACAAAAACACACTTTTTACCCTTGAGTTTGAACAAATTCTTACAAACAAAAAATGCAGTATGATGTAATAAATAAAATGACAGAGGGTACAATCACCTGGGAGAGGTGTGATCTATCCCCATTTTACAGATGAGTAAATTTGAGCATAAGAGATAAAGATTCAGGGCGCCTGGGTGGCTCAGTTGTTAAGCGTCTGCCTTCGGCTCAGGTCATGATCCCAGGGTCCTGGGATTGAGCCCCGCATCGGGCTCCCTGCTCAGCAGGGAGCCTGCTTCTCCCTCTCCCACTCCGCCTGCTTGTGTTCCCTCTCTCCTGTCTCTCTCTCTCTCTGTCAAATAAGTAAATAAAATCTTTAAAAAAAAAAAAAAAAAGAGATAAAGATTCACTTCAAATGGTGTGCTCTTTCCATTATACTACTCTGCTTCTGAAGGAGTAGGCAATTAACATGACTCCTCTGATGCTTAAGAGCTTTCCTTGGGGCTGTCCAAAGTTTCCCTCTTGCTCTAGCTTTGACAGTATTATCCATTCTCAAGGCTTCAATAGCTACATATCAGTTACTTCCAAATTTTATCTCCAGTCCAAATGTCTCTACCCAGTTTTCCATGTCTATATCCAATGGTCTAGCTGACTTCTCCATTTGGTATCTCAAATTGAACTACTAGCTTTCTCATCTCATTAGCCGCTCTACTAATCCGCTCAGTTGTTCAAGCTTTTGCCCCTCCAGCACATTGATACCACTGTTCTAAATTTATACTTTTTAATCTGACTTATAGCATCCCTGTGATATAGGTTCTATCTTTCTCCCAATCTTACAGATAAGAGGTTAAATAACTTTTTCTCGGTCCAAGTGGCACTTAGGCTTTTAACACATAGGTCACATGCCTACTAAGCTCCAGATACTATGAGCAACTCCCATGTCTGTTTTTGTTCTTCGCTCTCTCCCCATTTCTTAGAACTGTGCCTGGCATATAGCAGGGGCTCTGTAAATACATGAAAGAAAAAGGAATGTGGGGGGGTCCCTGGGTGGCTCAGTCAGTAAAGCATCTTACTTTGGCTCAGGTCATGATCGTGGGGTCCTGGGATCAAGTTTTGTGTGGGGCTCCCTGCTTAGCAAGAAGCCTGCTTCTCCCTCTGACAAATAAATAAATAAAATCTCTTAAAAAAAAAAAAAGGAATGTAGGTCAAAGGAAGGAGATACCACCTTTCCCTAATTGGTACTTAGGCCAAGGTTTAAGACTTAAGATTATGACTGGGTATTTAAATGAAGTAGGCTTTATCCTATTAGGAGGATCAGAGAATAAGAAACATTAACAATAAATTAGTTGGTGTTTTCCTAGTAATTAATGCTGAGGCATATTTCCACACTATTGTTCACTTCAGCATCTTGGCAAGGAATCCTATTTTCTGCTAAGCCCCCACTGCCTTAAAAAAACTTTTTATATGCTCAGTGTATACACAAAGACAAAACAAAGCTTTTAATAATGTGCAATTTTATAATGCAAGTTATTAAAAACAGAGAACAATGAAAAACAGTACTTAGCCCCCTCCTGCCAGGAATCCAGGAGTTAGGATGTCAACTCAATATTAAAACCTAAAGCACACTGTAAACAGGACAGAGAATGAGTGGTATTTCCTTCAATCTGGACATCGTGTAAAGTGATACACATTTATCCATATGATGCAAACAACGCTCACAACTCCTCTACCAAAAATCACCTTCAGGGCCACACTAGAAAATTAGTCCCATTCCTTTACTACCAGAACCCAACTTGACCCCTAAAATGTTTTCCTGGATTTGGTCCTGAATGACTTTGGATTTTTTCAAAACCTAAAAAACATCTTCACAAGATGAAGATCACTGACCATGAAGGATATTTAAAAGAATGGGCTACTAGTTCTCAAGGTCATTCCACAAAAGAAGTTGCAAGCATTTTGCACATTCTTGGAAAAAGCATCTATATTACACTCTTTCAGATGCATAAATTCTGTCACTTTTAGAAAAAAAAAAAACAACAAAAAACCGCAGGGCTCTACATTCAGCCCGTTATCCTCAAAGGCAACAGGGCAGCTATCACCAGCTCAGACTGCCACGCAGTTGCCGTGTGTTGGGGCACTCTTCCCATTTCTCTCCTCTGGAGCACCTTGTGCAGGAAAGCTACATGAAGTCACTGACAAGACTTAGAGCAGTGTGTGGCAGGTGGGTTCTGTAGCTGAAGCTTGAGCAGTTTTCGAGCTGGAGAGGGATCTAATTGTTGTGTGCTTCTCTTCCCTGCAAAGGAAAGACAAAAGTAAATTTCAAGTGAATTCAAAATAACATTTATTGAAAACTTCTTGTATGGACAACTGTGCCAGACACTGAAGGGCATTACAATGACAAATAAGAGTCTCTGTCCTTAAGGAGATGGCAGTCCGGCAGGAAAGCCAGCTGCAACCACAACCATAACACTATGTAATGAGAAAATGAAGGTATATATAGCAAATAATTTAGGGCTGGAGGAGGCCAAGGAAAAGCAACAGGGAAGTAATGTCAGTGTTACTTAGTGGATTCTTGAAGAATGAAGAGGAAAACGGCAATGGGTATTTAAAAGCTTGGATTTACTAAAACAACACGGTTTGTGGGGATTTAATTTTCCAATCTACTATGTTCCTGTGAATTCACATCTAGAAATTTCCCATCAACTTTGAGTACCCACAGCATAATAATTATGGTGAGGGGAGAAAAAGAAATCATCTACACAGGCCTTATTTTCTGAGACCATATGCTCTGAAGGGCAGTTTGTATCTGAAGGGCTATCATATATAAAATAGTGCAAGCTCTAGTCCCCTGAAGACACACACTCACCGAGCTGTACTGACACCTTCTGGAGACACTGGGTACTTTCATCCATAAAAGCATGCAGCTGCCTCACAGACCCTTGCAGTTCGTCCATCTGCACATGAAAAACAGCTGTGAGCTATAAGGGTCCGTGGCTTCTTTTTTTTTTTTAAGATTTTATTTATTTATTTGACAGAGAGAGACACAGCCAGAGACGGAACACAAGCAGGGGGAGTGGGAGAGGGAGAAGCAGGCCTCCCGCCAAACAGGGAGCCTGATGTGGGGCTCGATCCCAGGACCCTGGGACCATGACCCGAGCCGAAGGCAGACGCCTAACAACTGAGCCACCCTGGCACCCCACCTTCTTCTTTAAAAAAAAAAATATATATTTATTTATTCGAGCGAGAGAGAGAGTGTGTGCACAAAAGGGGTGGGGGGAAGGGCAGAGGGAAAGGGAGAAGCAGGCTTCCCATGGAGCAGGGAGCCCGATGTGGAGCTCGATCCTGGGATCATGACCTGAGCCAAAGGCAGACGCTTAACGACTGAGCCACCCAGGCGCCCCATCCGTGGCTTCTTTGATGTTCCTCAAAAAAGGAAGGCAAGCTCCTGCTCAGGAGCTTTGCTTTGCTGTCTTTTCAACCTGGAAAGCTTGTGCCACACACTTTGTTTGCTCCTCCAGATTCACACTCTGCACTTCTCCATGTTGCTCTATGCCCTGGGAGGCTGCCAAGCATAACCTCAGACAGGATTCCATGTCCTCTGGTGTCTGGGCAGGTTTAGCCAAGAGGGAGCCCAAGTGGGAGGGAGGTGAATGAAGTCAGGATATTTTTATGCAGCCTTGCTGGAAGGGTCGTCTTGAGTTAGTTTTGTCTCTCAACTGAAGGTCATGGCCCACTATATAACTTTCTTCCTCTGGTACCACAGTGACTGTTCCTCCCCTCTGCCCTTCAGGCCTAGGGACAGTAAGAGTTCAGCTGCCTCTAAGCCCCAGGTTACTGCACTAATCTTTGTGGTTTCCTCAATACCCACACTTTATATATCACTCCTTCAATTAACCTTTATCAAGTGCATCTACTTTCTGTCGATACTTGGAGTGATACAATACCATTCTCCCAAATGTCCTCAGGGCTCACTTCCTCATTTCTTTTTTTTAGATTTTATTTATTCATTTGAGAGAGAGAGAATGAGAGACAGAGAGCAGGAGAGGGAGGAGGGTCAGAGGGAGAAGCAGACTCCCTCCTCAGCAGGGAGCCCGATGCGGGACTTGATCCCGGGACTCCAGGATCAGGACCTGAGCCGAAGGCAGTCGCTTGACCGACTGAGCCACCCAGGCACCCCACTTCCTCATTTCTTTCAAGTCTTTGTTAAAATGGTACCTTAGAGGGGCACCTGGGTGGCTCAGTCCGTTAAGCATCTGCCTTCAGCTCAGGTCATGATCCCAGGGATCGAACCCTGTGTTGGGCTCCCTGCTCAGCGGGGAGCCTGCTTCTCCCTCTCCCTCTGCCTGCAGCTCCCCTTGCTTGTGCTCTTTCTCTGTCAAATGAATAAATGAAATCTTTCAAAAAAAAAAAAGCAGCTTAGAAGGACCATCAACAACTGCTCTATACAGCAACCTGCCACCCTTCCTGTCCACTCTCTCCTTTACCTTGCTTTATTAGCTTTTATCACCACGTATTTATTTTTTTTATTGTCTCTCCATGTTTCCCCAAGGTAGAGCTGATAGTTATCTCATTACACATATTCTCCAGGTCTCTGAATTTCCAAGGATGACAACATAGCAAAGCTAAATAACCAAATTAATATGAGCCAACTCACCACCAACTCCATATAATCAAAGACTTTGTTTTGGTTCTGCAATATCTTCTGGTAGTCAGGCTTTGTATTAAGGACTTCACTCTGGGAAGATCCAAGATATGTTGCAGGTTCCACTTCAACTTCAGTAACTTTGGTTTCAGCTGATCCTCTGGAAGGAAAAAAAAAAAAGAACAAAAGAGCGTTCAAGGAATTTTTTTTAAAGAGTTTTTAATTATTTATTTATTTGAGAGAGAGAGAGCACAAGCAGAGGGGAGAGGGAAAAGCAGAATCCCCACTGAGCAGGGACCCTGATGCAGGGCTCAATCCTGGGACCCTGAGATCATGACCTGAGCCAAAGGCAGACGCTTAACAGACTGAGCCACCCAGGCGCCCCTCAAGGAATTTCTATAATCATTTTCTGGGGGAAGATATGTAAGACAACCTAGGGAAAAAAAACGCCAATAAGGCTTTATTAACCTGAACGAATATTCTTCCACTCTACTGTAGGCATAGGCTTTCTTATTAACAAGGGGGTCTGAAATGATTATTCTAGTGTTAATATATTTATACCACTGGGCTCCAGGAAATGCTAGAACCTTCAGATCAGTTGACTCCACCTAACAGTAAGGTCCATTTACAAAAAGGACTATAGGTGGGGTATGGTAAAGCCAAAGCTTGCTTTCCTGAAATCCCTATCTATGATCTTTTCCAAAAAATGCTGGGCCACTTCAATTATCTGAAATAACTGAATATGATGGAGAGTTCATGAAAACTGAGGACTCTTTAACAACAACCACTCCCAAAATTTCCTGACTGCCAGACCCTGCTGAACACATTCCATTTCACCTCATTTTACACTTACAACAACCCAATGAGGTAGGTACTAATATTATCCCCGTTTTCAAGAGGAACTTCAAGCTTAGAGATTAAGTAGCTTGCCCAAGATCACAAATTGAAGGAGTAATTAGTATTGTAACAGAGACATTCTGCTTCCAGAAGCATTCCTCTTAACCAATAAGCTATGCCACATCAAAAGTTCTTATTCTGAAACTTTGTTCTTACACTTTACTTATCTTCATAAACAGAACGTGTAAGGGGCAAATAAAGTAACTGGTAACCATCAGTGCCTGGACTGCGGAAGTTTTCAAACCATGTTCCTGAAAGCACCTCCTTACAAAGAGGCCACTTCTGCAGTTAGGGTTTTAGCTAACATTTTATATTTGGGTTTCTAGCTGAGATACCGTTGGGGAAAAAAAAGCTTAAAATCACTGGCTTAGATGGCCAACTAAATCAAAGTCTAGTACTTTCCCACTTTTTATGCCTTTAGGACTCAAAGATCCTCTCTCTCCTATACACCCTCTTTCATCACCCCCTTCCATGTTTTTGCATCTCCACGAAGGACCTGGCCAGGGTTCTCTCCCATACCTGCAGCTTGAAGGCCACGTGCAAACTGACGTGCCCTGACCAAGATTTTGGCCCAAGCCCGAGTGCCCTGGTACAGGGCAGAGATGGGCCTGTCTCCCCCCGGATGTGCAACAGCAGCCAAGGACACAGAACTGAAGCAATTCTGTTCTTTGACTGAAAATAGTGACACCCACTCTCCCTCCCTTTCCCCCAACTCTCCACTTATAGTCCTAGAGTGCTAATACACATTTTATAGAGCTTTGATGAGTTGATTGGCCTATGAGAAAGGATTCATCTTTCAATTTGTGCTAACAGAACTGAAATCAATTCAAATCAAATTCCACAAGGTAAAAAGACAGCTTCCTATTTCCAATCATGGAGCTAACCTGGATATGATCTCTTCAGCCTCCTTCTGGTAGTACTGCAAGAGCTGATCCCAAGACTGACGTTCTAAAGAAAATCTATAGAATCAGGAAAAAAAATAATCAGTTACTTTTTGATCATCTCATTCTGAATCACTCAGGGCAACAATAAGTACATCAGGTGTCTACTCTGGTTCTAAGATGTGAAAAAAAGGTCATTAAAGGATCAGAAAGCCCGACTGATTCAGAGGATATGAATTTAATCAAATCAAACATGAGTTCTTAAAATCAAATTAACATCCTGATTCCCCAGACTCCATTCTATGAAACTGGCCATCAGTAAAGCCCACAAGATCCCAATAAGCAGCTTTCTAAATTCCAGTGTTGACACACTAGTACTGAGACTCTGAATGGAATGTTTACTATTAATTTTTTCCAGACCTAGTTATTTTCCCCAGATGAATTTAGATTTTCCAACAAAGGATCACTCATTTTCACTTACTTTGTTATGTATTCCTTCATTTCAGCCACTGATGTTTCCAGAGATAAATCTGATTCTTTTCTGGAATACAGATAAGACTGTAAGAACAATATAAATCTTTCAAAAGCACTTGCTTTTAATAGGATGCCTTACAAAATTTTAATGGCAGTAAAAGATATTCAGAATTCATCTTTCAACAAATATTTATTCTTGAACTCTATCTCACTTCTGCACTAGATAACAATTTCCTCAGTGGTCTCTTTATTTTCTATTTCTCTCATCAATTCCAATTCACCTATAGCCAGATTACCCTTCCCTAAAATATTCCTTAATTTTGTTTTCCTTGCCTAAAACTCTGCAACTCTCGACTGCATTCAGAATAAAAGTCAAAACTCTTCAACCTGGCACTTTAGGCTGTTTTGGCTCCAACCAGCTCATTAACTTTGATTCCAATTGTTTCCTTTCACCTATTCTGCCCCATATAATCTCATTCAGCCCGACCCTCAAACATCTGGAGCTTTCCATCTCCAAACTTTTGTTCACATCATTTTTTTTTAAAGATTTATTTATTTATTTGAGAGAGAGAGAGAGAAAGCATGAATGGAGGAAGGGACAGAAGGAGAGAATATCCAAGCAGACTCTCGCTAAGCATGGAGCCTGACTCGGGGCTTGATCTCATTAGCCATGAGATCAGGACCTGAGCAGAATCCAAGAGTCAGACGCTCAACCGACTGAGCTGCCCAGGTGCCCCTTGCTCACATTGTTTTTGTGTCTCTTCTGAGTCACCTTTTAAGGCCCAACAATACTTTTGTATGTGACATCTCTTCTTCCCACTCAAAATGATGTTATCAGTGGACAGGGATTATGTTTATTTACACCAATGGCTTAGCTCAGTTGGGTGACTAATCCTGATGGAAAAGAAGCACTGAAAATGCCAAAATTCTGCAGATGTACTTGGTACTCTACCTGGCAAAGACAAGTTAGCTGTGCCACCTTTCATGTTTCTCCACCAAGGCCTGTGACACACAGCCTCTATCACCTATGGCTGAGATGCAGCAGCTGGTGGCTTAAATACACTGCATTAAAAGAGATACTATGCTGAGCCAACATATTTTTCATTTCCTGGATAGTAATGTTAATTCTTTTTTTTTTTTAAGATTTTATTTATTTATTTGACAGAGACACAGCGAGAGAGGGAACACAAGCAAGGGGGAGTGGGAGAGGGAGAAGCAGGATTCCTGCTGAGCAGGGAGCCCAATGTGGGGCTCGATCCCAGGACCCTGGGATCATGACCTGAGCCGAAGGCAGACGTTTAACAACTGAGCCACCCAGGCGCCCCAGCAATGTTAATTCTAACAATCTGTGGGAAAGTAAACCTTTGTGAAGTCAAAACTAAAAAGTTTTATGAGGTAGGCCCAAGTGACATGATTTGTTGCAAGGCAGAAGCTAGAGAGTTAGACCCTGCCCCTACAGAGGAACTACCAGTTTGGGGCTGGGATTTAAAAACTTCTCCTAATATTCTTGCTTACCAACAGCTGAAGAACATAAGTTTATCACCAACTTGCCTTGCTAGCAAATAGCTGAACAATGCTTTTCCTCTCATCTTTCCATGGCTGGTTCCTTCCCACCACTCAGGTCTTAACAGGTCTTCTCTGTACACTAACTAAAGTTGTGTACACCCCCCTCACGTCACTATCATAGTTACTGACTTCTTAGATAATCACTACCTGAAATCCTTATTTTCTACGTATTTGATTGTCTCTCCTGTTAAAATACATAAGAAAGACCTTGCTTGAGGGGCGCCTGGGTGGCTCAGTCGTTAAGCATCTGCCTTCGGCTCAGGTCATGATCCCAGGGTCCTGGGATTGAGCCCCGCATCAGGCCCCCTGCTCCGCGGGAAGCCTGTTTTCCCTCTCCCTCTGCCCCTGCTTGTGTTCCCTCTCTTGCTGTGTCTCTGTCAAATAAATAAAATCTTAAAAAAAAAAAAAAGAAAGACCTTGCTTGACTTATTTATCATTTTATGTCCAGCATCTAGAAGAGCCTGGTGTGTAGAAGATGCTGGATAAATGTTTGTTGAGTGAATAAGCAACTAATTATAATGAAAAGTCTTAATTCAATTATAATTTAGGACAGAAGGGGAACTGCACATACCCTTTTGAATCTTCAAAACATTTTTGTAGAGTTCCATTACTTTCCAGGCTCTCTGCAAAATGCTGCAATTCTTCAGAAAGAGAAGATGCTAGAGGGGGGGAAAAAAAAGTACATGTTATAAAATAAATAGAATATGAATTTCCACAGCAAGCTGCTGACAAAGATATACTCAAGGTGGTCTCAGCTCTAGGGTCCCCTGTTACATTTTGGCCCTCTCACCTATTCAAAGAAGTAGTATAAATATGCAGAAAGATTTTATCTTTGTTCTTTGGGTAGGTATAGATAGAACGGAAGACAACTCCTCTTTATGACATTTATGATAGTGTTTTTTATACTTGACTGGTGAAAACTAGTTAAAAGTTATATGTGCACTGACATTTCATTCTTTCAAGAAATTTCAACTGCTGGCAGGCAATAGGCAGGGGCATAATGAAAAATGTTAAAGGAGAATAAAGAATTATGGGCATAAGGTAAAAACAGGTCTCTGCTTCGACTTGGAAGAATCTACAACTGCACTCAGGTGAGAAATGCAAAGGGGAAAGCAGATGTTAAAAAGTTATCGTATCTACTCTAATTGGTGATGGTCCAATGCCGAGATAAACAACAGCCTGAGTTCATATATTTTCCAGGTCTTCTAAGTGGGTAACACTGAATATTTCTGACCCTGGATGATTGTGTAGTTATACTATAAAGAGCTACTTCCTAGGAAGTTGAAAATGGATTCCTAAGAATATTTGTAACTTATATCACAGATGAACAGCTAATTTCCTTAATGTATAAAGAGTTCCTACAAACTGATGTAAAAAAGCCAAGATCCCAATTTTCAAAAACGAAAAAGGAGCCTTTCCGGCGGTGCCAAACTCCCCACAAGAACATCCCCTCTCAAAGGACCTCCTCCACCCATCCCAGAAGAGAAAAGGAAACACAAGAAGTGCCTGGCGCAGAGCCCTAACTCCTACTTCATGGATGTGAAGTGCCCAGGATGCTACAAAATCACCACCACCTTTAGCCATGCACAAACAGTAGTTTTGTGTGTTGGCTGTGCCACTGTCCTTTGCCAGCCTACGGGAGGAAAAGCAAGACTTACAGAAGGATACTCCTTCAGACAGAAGCAGTGCTAGAAGCACCCTCCATCAAGATGAGGGGCAAACTATCCCAATCAACACATTTTGGATTAAAAAAAAATGAACAAAGGATACAATCAAACAACACACAGAAAATGAAGTACAAGTGGCTCTAAAAAATATGAAAAAGTGCTTATCCTCTTTGAAAAAAGAGGGAACACAGATTAAAGCTAGAAAATACTTCTTATCACCTATCAAATAGTAAAAAATCTGAGCTGCTTGGTAAAACTGTTATGAGTGTGAAAAAACAGGTACTTGCATATATTGTTGGTAGGAGAATAAACTGATAGAACCTTTCTGGAAGGCAATCTGGTAATTTCTCACATTTCATTTGATCTATGTAATTTCAATTCTAGAAATTTATCTTATTTTTACTTGTGTATGTGCCAGAAGACTTGTGTAAAAAGGTATTCATTACCCTATTCATTATAATAGCAAAAGACTGGAAACAACCCTGAAAGCCCACCAGTAAAGAACTGGTTAAATCATATATGGAACATTTATAAAATGAAATGTCATATGGCTACTAAAATGTCAAGACAGTTCTATATGTGCAATATGGAACAATGTGCAAGACAAACTGGTTTAAAAAAAAAAAAAAGACAAGGGGCGCCTGGGTGGCTCAGGCAGTTAAGTGTCTGCCCTTGGCTCAGGTCATGATCCCAGGGTCCTGGGATAAGTCCCGCATCGGGCTCCTTGCTCAGCGGGAGAGTCTACTTCTCCCCTTCCCTCTGCCTCTAACCACTGCTTGTGCTCTCTCCCTTGCTCACTCTCTCTCAAACAAACAAACAAACAAATAAGACAAGGGGTGCCTGCGTGGTGTCTGACTCTTGGTTTCAACTCAGGTCATGATCTCATGGTCATGAGATAAGCCCCGCATCGGGCTCCTCACTCAGCACGGAGTCTGCCTGAGTTTCTCTCTCCCTCATCTTTTGCCCCCCCCCCTCTAAAATTAGTAAATAAATCTTAAAAAAAAAAAAAAGACAAGGTAAAAAACAGTGCAGAGTATATGTTCATTTGGTATTCATGTAAAAATGCTGGAAATGCAGTAAGATCTCTGTAATAATCAACCGGAAGCTGGTGGCTGCGGTGTCTGCTGCAGAGAGGAGTTGGACTGGCTTGGGGTGGGAGGCTGGCTTATGTCACACTTTCATACCTTCTGAATGTCATAAGCATATATTCTTACTCTTTTAAACACAACTCTAAAATATAGATGGGGGCTGGTTTTGTGAGGCGGCAGCTCCTATAAATGGAGGTCCTGAAAGTGGGGCTTCAACCGACCTAAACAGAAGGTAAAGCCAGAGGCCAAAGCTGGCTCCTCTATTCTTAGCAACTTACCTTTGGCTCTAAAACTTTCATGACTGAAGCCCTCAGTGTCCTTTAGGAAAGGTTCAAGTTTCTGAACAGAGAACTAAATAAAGGAAAGCATTTTTAGTACAACCAAGATTTTCCAGGCCAGTCCTGAGTTCATGTAATTTCATGATGTTTAATCAACATGAAAGTAAACATGATTTAATTTTTATGCCTAAGATTTTTCATATAAACAAATAAGTAGATCAGGAAAAATCTCTTTGCTCAGACTATACATTTTGATTTTTGGTTCAGAGAAACATGGTCATTTAATTAACACAAATGACTTATCTAAATTGATGTAAATCACCAGTTAGCCATATAATTTCCGCTCGGTATGTAGTCAGACCTTAAATGTCTGCTTTAACTTAGATATTGACCTTCACCCACTTTAAATTCCCATCATTTGCTGCCAATGGGCAAACTATACTAGACTGAGGAAATCTCTGTCAGGTGCTCAATTAGCACCAGCACCAGTGGGATTGGTAGGAAGACTAGTCCAGAGAGAAATCAGCTGCTGCTGGGATTAAATCTGGCTTTTAAATTAATCCCACCTAGACAGAAGCATCTTTTAATCTCAACTGATACATTACACAACACTGATCTCTTTTTGGGGCTGTCACAGTAACAGTTTAAAAAAAAAAAGAAAAAGAAAGCATTTCTCAATTCCGAGATTCTTACCTGGAAACTGGAAAGCAGGAGAGCGACAAGCCGTTTGCTTTCTGTTAAGTTGGCACTGATGGATCTGCTGAGCTCTAACATAAAATATCACCACATGTAAGGGACTAGATACTAATACAGTTAGCAAAGTAAAAAAAACTGAAAATTGTCCTCCCTCCTGATGGGGTCTAACTTCAGGTAAGAACGCGTAGGCAGCCTTTTCTACTTAAAAGGAGAATTTATATAGAGTATATCTAATTTTTTTAGACTCACCAAAAAATGAAATTTACCTATTTATATATACTAACTTTAAAATGTTATTAAGAAACCTTTTATGGATTACATTAAAATCTTGTCTGTTATGGGTGCCTAGATGGCTCAGTCAGTTGAGTGTTCAACTCCTGATTTTGGCTCAGGTCAAGATCTCAGAGTTGTGAGATCAGGTCTTGCAACTGGCTTCCCACTCAGCCAGAAGTCTGCTTCAGTTTCCTCCCTCTGCCCCTGCCCCTGCCCCTACCCCGGCTCATGTGTGAGCTCTCTCTCTCTCTTTCAAATAATTAATTAAATCCTTAAAAAAAATAGTAACATCAAAAATAATAAAAACAATGCAACTTTAAAAATCATTTAACTTGTTTCTGATGTTTTATTTTCAGCACTCAAGGAAAGGAGATGGGAACATTTGAGCATCTTTAGGACAGGCACTACAGTGTGTTTTGTTTGTTTTTTTAAAGTAGGCTCCATGCCCAATGTGGGGTTTAAACTCAGGACCCTGAGACCCTGAGATCAAGAGTTCCATGCTTGGGGCGCCTGGGTGGCTCAGTTGGTTAAACATCTGCCTTCGGCTCAGGTCAGGATCTCAGGGTCCTGGGATGGAGCCCCACGTAGGGCTCCCTGCCCAGTGGGGGGGTCTGCCTCTCCCTCCTCCCCCCTGCTCATGCTGTTTCTGTTTCTCCCTCTTTCAAATAAATAAAATCTTATAAAAAAAAAAGTCACATGCCCTACCGAGTAAGTCAGCCAAGTGCTCCTGCAGTGTGCTTTAAATACACTGTCTTATAAATTATGAGCTCCATTTTACAGATGGGAAAACTGAAGCTCAGAGGGCAGATAACTTGCCAGAGGCCAGATATTCAATCCCAAATCTGCCACCAAAAAAGGTGTATTTTCCCAATAAGAGCCATACTGCCTCTCTATAATGACCTAATAATGACATTAATAGTAATTTGTTGAACACTTGCTATATAAAAGGCATTTCATTAAATGCTATGCACACCTCATTAAAACCAAAGGCAAGTAGCTTATCAATTCCATTTTACAAAGGAGGACACTGAGGCACAAAGGCTGGATGATAGGTAACTTGTAACCCAAGGTCACATGGTGAATCCCCCTGAATTGGAGGGGTATTTTACATAATTATGCCACTGAATCCTCAAAGGACTATAAGATGTAGTTTTTTTTAAATTATGTCCATCTAAAAACATCAATTATTACACAGCAAAGAAAGTTTGCTCTGACAATTTGAGATACATATATTTTTGTCCTCCAGCTTCAGCTGGCTGTGTTTTTAGTTCTTTTGCCTCCTAGTTATTTCTCATTGCTGTTAGTATAGAAAAACAGGATACCTTCTGCCCCTAACCAAAGAAACCTGGCAAGTAGCCAGGAATAACCAGGAGATAACCAATCTTATTACATCAGTGATTTTTTGTTATACAGAATTTTAGGTCCACAGGCCCTGGAACAGAGATAAAGGTAGGGGTAATCTTAGGGAATTGCTTGTTTTCTTGGCACACCTACAGAGTCAAGTGCATGAGCACAATTGTGGCAGCAATATGCTAAATGGCTATTTTTACCCAGATTTCCTTCTACACATCAGGCCATCTGGAAGTGAGCTAATATCTTTAAAATAATCACAATAGCTTAACATTGGAGCTATTTACTTACTATATGCCAAGAACTGTGTTCTATATCAATTCATTTAATTCTCACACAACCCTGTAAAATAGGTATTATTTCATCCCATTTACTGATAAGGCCTGTAAGGCAAAGGAGCTTAAGTAATCTGCTCAAGGTTACACAACTAGTAAGTTCTTCCTGAAATGTGCTGGACTTTCCACATTAAATCTTGTACTTCATTGCTTACTGAGATGTAATTATTATTGTAAGTTCACACAAATCACATTCAAATACGGCATGTCTAAAACCTTAGTTTTCACCAAGATGTTTTTACAGGCATCCTCCCTCCGAGATATTTTCAGTTATAAAGCCTATAAGCAGGTAGCAACCCATCCACCTTCTGTTTTACTTTAAGAAATAACAGAAAGCCATACAAAGAAATCTTTAATGCCTCTCATCCTAGCAGAGGTGAGAGTTGAACAATTGTAAACTAGAATTTTTGTTCATGGTGGAGATTACAACGGGCAGCTGTTAACATAAGAGCAATCATATGGAACACTCACTAGGTGTTTGACATTAGTACTTAGGATCTTAGACTATCCCCCTTACAGATGAGGAAACTGAGGTTGACAGGGGTGACATGATTTGCTCAGTCACATAACAAGTAGCAGAGCCAAGTCATTCCTCCTCCATTCTTTCTGCCATACCTCACTGTCTCTTATCTGAGCTGGAACTCCTGTCTTACGTACACAGCACCCCACCTGTGATGCCCTGATGAAAGGCAGGCAGTGACTTCCGCCGGCTCATTTCTTTCATACTTGCTCGCCGCCAAGATTGACTCTTGTCTTGACGATCGGGAGACTGTTCTTGGGGGGACAAATGAAGGGACCTGGACTGAAGTCCTTCCTGGCGGCCGAGATCACAACTTCCCCCTATTCTAGGGCTAGAGCCAAGGTGAATTCTTTCCTCTGAAACGCCTTGAGTCATCTCCAGGGAGGCAGGTGATTTGCTACACACTTCCACAGGGATGGGATCCGATTCCAGTGGATGATCATGAGTCTTAGTTGTCACTGGTTCCTCTTCTAGCACTTGTTATGAAAAAGTCAAAATACAAAATGAAACCCACCACAACCATGCATCTGAGCAAAAAGGTGGAAAAAGAAAATATATGCCCCAGATCATGGAAACAGTGAGGAAGCATCTCCGCAAATACGTAAATATGTGATTCCAAATCCACCAGAAGCCAGGAAAGCATTTGTGTATAGCTGAGAAATCTGAACCCAAGGCAAGAGGGCCTTAATTTTACTACAATACTTACCTTCTATCGTCTCCGATCTAATTACTGAAGTCATTCTGGATGAAAACCCTGAAAATAGGAAAACAAGGTGATCTGTTCTTCACATTTCAGCCTCAGTCTCGCTGGGGCTTTACTACCCCAGAAGAGACCTTGTGTTGTCCAGCCTTTCTGACCTGTTCATCTCTGCCCCATGAAATTCTACCTACCTGACAAGGCCCAGCCCAGTCCCACCTCATCCACCTCCTCCAGAGACTATCAGACTATCATTACCTCCTGTACTGAATTTCTACAGAACTCATCGTTAGAAATACTCATGTCTCACTTAACACGTACCTTCCTTTATTTCCCATTTAACTAGTCCCTCATATCCTAGATGGCATTATGATCTACATGGTCTTCCAAACTAGAAAAATCACATCATCCTTTACTTCTTATGTTTAATCTCCACATCCAAAGTCCTGTCCATCCTACCTCCAAAAGTCTCTGGAAAGCTTTTCTACACTTCCAGTTCTTAGTTTAGTATATGGGTCTCAGAACTTCCACCATCTGCCTCCCCCTCCCCAGCATAATCTTGCAGCCTCTCCACTAGTTTTCCAACATCCAGTACTGCTCCTCTCCAATCCATTCTTTAGACAGCAGCAGAGAATCTTCCAGTATATTCAACACCTTTCATTAACTAGTCCTAACTTACCCACCCCTGCTCTCTCCTGCAACCCCCATTCCCTGCATCACTTTTGAATCTCTACATACACACTGCCTGTAAGACTTACTCAGCCTTCCCAACCTAGCTCAAATGCCAAGCTTTCAAACCACTTCTCTAGGCAAAGTTGGTTGCTCCACCCCTTAGTCTTCCTAGCGCTGTACAGTCTGTTTACGGGTCTGTCTCCCCAGCCAGACCGTATTTGTATCCCTAGTGGCTGTCACCGACAACTGACTGGAAGAAGGCAAGGAAGGACATGACTGAGGCGTCTCTGCAAATTCCACGCTTACCCCTCCCTCCCAGCAAAAATCCGTATGAGGGGGAGGGACTCTAAATAAACAAAAATGAATATATAGGGAGGGACAGCGTGGGAAAGGTAACAGAACAAGGGTGTACCCGGTAGGTCAAGGATCTAGATCCCCACAGTAGGGCTGTATCACAGATTCAAGCCTGGATAATAAGAGCAACAAATATCATTTGTTAAGCTGCTTGTTAAGTGCTTATATGCCACGATCTGTGTATGTATGTACGCAGGCGTTTTATTTGCATCATTATCTCATTATCCCACTGAATCCTTTCCACAGCTCTGTAAATACTATCATTAATTCCTCCCCGCAGATAGGGTTCAGAGGGCCAAAAGCCCGGCCCACTGGGGACAGCCCGGGGGTGCGGATGCAGAGGTGGAATTCGAACCCAGGCCTGTGACCCACCCCCAGCCCTCAAACACCGTTCTGCACAGGCCCGAGCGAGAGGCGCGGCCCGCCCTTGGGATTCCTCTCACCCGGACGAGGCCGCAGCGCTCCAGTTCCCCCAGTCCCCTCTGTCTGGGGGGCAGCGACCGGTCTGGGCTGGGCGGAGAGGTCCGACGCCAAGGAGGCTGGTGCGGAGATGAGCCGAACGGCGTCCACGGAGAGATCTGCGACTTCCTGACCTCGGGACGACGCCAGTCCAGCCCACAGCCTCCGTCTTGGAGATACAAGCCAGCAAATCACTCTCCGCGGCCAAGAGTCGCGCTTCGACGTCCCGCGCCACTGCGGCCGCTCCTCACGGGCCTGGGGCGCCGTCAGCTATCTGCGACACTAAGGCTGCCGCCGCTTCTGAAAGACCCGCCAACTAAGGGCGCCTGCGCAGTTGGCAGCCTGCCGGATCCGCTCACGCATGCGCAGAACGCCGGCCTCCTTCGAGGCGCATGCGTAAACTTGTGTTCAACCGCTTGCCTTCCGCCCGCCCCAGCCCCCCATCTCCAAGTCCTTGCTGGTCCCGACCCGGCCACGTAAATTATTTCCCCAGCTATGCGACGCCCGCGGAGTCCCCTCCTACGGATTCCACCTCATCTTGTCCTTTGCGCTGGACGCATTCAGAGCCCATTGAAGATGGGGAGGCAGAGTCCCAGAGAGGTACTTGCCAAGGAAAATAGTGGATCACGGGGCATATGATGCCCTGCCGCGTCGTTAGGCCATGGTCCCCACCCCACGTTTATATTAACTGCAAAAACATGGGCCGTGTCTTTCCCAGGGCAGAATGGAGCTCTGTACTCCCTTTGTTTTATTCTGTCCCACTCCTGCGCTAGCACTTTCTCTCCTTCTGTGACCCCTTCAATATTGGCAAAGTTTAAGAACTCTCCTGTGCAGCCTTATTGCAGGCCACCCCCTCCCCAAACTGCTTGCAGCTCCTCTGCCCACCCCTGTTGCTTCTTCCCTCTGCTCCTTTGCTCAAGCCGTTCCCTTGGCCAGGGAAGCCCATTCCAGCTTTTTCCTGCAAAATTCTCCCGATTTTAAGCCTCAGCTGAGGATTCATCTCAGACTCTTCTCTGAGGCTCCAGACTGAAAACTGTGTTCCCAGAAGCCCAGCCGTGTCTACTCCACAGCAGGCTGCTTCTTCAGCACCTAGCATGATGCCATGGAAATGTCCCCTTGCTTATGTGGTCCTTTCTTTCAGATCTGAAACCAAATGTTGAATTATTAGCAGTCCAGAAAGTCTGAAAGATGCGTCAGAGAGCAGCTGCTGGAATGTGACTGGTCATCCTTCCATAGCAGCTGCGGTCCTTGGAAAGGTTTTCAGATGGGAGCTAGAAATCTGCCTTCCTGAAATTTTCCACTCTGTAGTTGCAGCCGGCTGGCTCTAATAGCCACCTGAAAGCAGAGATTTGCTTGGTTCCCAGAATATCACTTTCTGGGGCTCAGTGGTACCCAGTTCCTTCTATGCCTGCCCCCCTCTTTCAACTCCTTGTTTGTCAATGTCCCAAGAACAGAACACAATATTCCCAGCCAGGGCTGGTCATCCTGAGGCACAGTGAGAATATTGCTTCATGGATTCCAGACCCAATACATCCTCTGTCCTTCCTCTGCTTTCAGTTCTCCCATGGCTTCCTATGGTCTACAGGACATGGACATTCCTTCCCTCATAAGGCACTGCATGATCTGACCCAGGCCTTTTCATCACTCCTCACTCCAGTGACATCCTGTGGGCTCCACATTTCTGCTCTGCTCTCTTTCTACTAGGCTTTGATACATGCACTCCCTCACCCTGGAGCCACCTCCTGTCAGTCTCCTGCCTATAATATACCACTATCCCCTTCATTTATTCAACATCTCAACCTCAGGTGCCAGTTCAGATGTCCTGTGAAGTCTTTCAGTTCCTCCTGGGTTCCCCCCTGCCATTGACATTTGCTTTCTTGTCTTCCAGACCTATCTATTGCATTCTCAATGCCTAGCACAAACTTAGTTCTTGTTAGCCCCCCCACACATACACACCTCACCCCCAAATAAAAAAAGAGAGGGAGATGTAGATTTTTCATATGATAGCTTCCAAAATGGTCCCCAATAATCTCTGCTTCTTGGTGTTCATGCCCTGTGTGTTCCTCTTCCACACTGAGTAGAGCTGATCTGTATAACCAGTAAGATACTGCAGAAGTGACTGTGTGATTTTCAAAGTTTAGTCATAAAAGACGTTGTGACTTCTACCCTGCTTTCTTATAGATGACTTGCTCTAGGGCAAGCCAGCTGCCATGTTGTGAGGATACTCAAGCAGCACTATGGTCTATGTGGAGAGGAACTGAGGCCTCCTCCTGCCAACACTGACTTGCCAGGCATATGAGTGAGCCACCTTGCAAATGGATCTTCTAGCCCAAGTGAAGTCTTCACATGACTGCAGCCTGACTGATGTTTGACTGCAACCTCCTTGAGACACCTAGCTCAGTCAGAACTACCTAGCTCCCCTGCTTCTCCCTCTGCCCTCTTCCCTCTCGTGCTGTCTCTCATTCTCTCTCTCTCAAATAAATAAAATCTTTAAAAAAAAAAAAAAAAAGAACTACCTAGCTCCCAAATTCCTGATTCACAGCACCTGTGATCTAATAAATGTTTTGGGCCAATTAATTATACTGTGATAAATAACTGACCCATGTCTAAAGTGTCCTTTTTCCCCATGATACATTTGTAAAAGTTTTTTTTTGTAGAAAATAACATTTTTGAACACTGCAGGTTTCTCAGTGGTCATATCACACTGACTCTGAGGTGTAAGGACTCAGTATCCGGAACCACCAGTGGCCTCTCCCAAGTGACCCCAAACTAGCCAGCTGACTGTGGCATTCCCAGGGCTCCCTCCTTCCCAAGCAACTGGGCTGTGTGTGGAGGGTGGGGTGGGTAAAGTCAGGTTTCAAATCTGATGGGGACCCCACCCACCCTGCAAGAGAAATCAGAGAGGAGGCCAAATCCATGGAAACTGTTCATATGACATACTTTATTTCCAATCTACAACCATTAAAAACCTTTTGTAAGTTTACACTGTACAGTTATTCTCATGTCTGAAATAAGACACGGGCAGGGAGAGATGGAGGAGTGGGCCAGTTGTCCTAGCACCCAATCCATCTTGGGAAGGAGCCTTTTGAAGACGGAAGTGGGGAAGCGAGAACAGCGGACAGGAGAGGCAGACAGTTTGGCCCAAGGATGGCCTTGGTCCCTTCCCTCCCGAGGGCCTTTCCTTGGGAGTCCCCAAGGCCCAGGACTGCAGGACCCTTACCAAGAAACCAGGCTGGGCAGGAAGGGGGGCGCTTCACAGTATTGGCAGGGGTTGGGGAGGGGGGCCAAGATAAGAGGACAGTTTCTGGCTCTCTTCCTCAGCTGCTGGGGGTTGGAGCTGGTTTTTGACACTGTCTACTCGGTCTCCCTGGAGGTGGGGGGAGGAAGAGGAGGAGGAGCTAGGGACTTAGGAGTCTTTCCTTGAGGAGTTAGTTTTCTTACTACTTGAAGAGAAGTCATGAGCCTGTGGTGAGGTTTCCAAGGGATACATGGTCAGGGTCTTTATCTCCTGCCCGCCCCCTCTCCCCCAGGACTCCCACCTGCTGCTGGGCTAGCACAATCCTACACGGCCTTTTGAGAGCAGAACTGGAACCAAGCCAGAGGCAGGGAAAGGAAAACTGTAGCCTTTTCCCTGCCCTCCAGCTTCCAGGAAAAGGACATAGTTGTTTTTTTTGGCAGGGAGCGTTCCCAATCTCTCAGGCATCCAGATGAGGCTGGGATTTTCCAGTTGTTTCTGGTCTGGGCCAGCCTGTCCCTCACCAGCCACATGGATTGCTACGTGGGTCAGCAGTTGGCCAAGTCCTGTTATATGAGAATCACCTGGAGGGCTTGTTAAACCCCAGCTTGTTGGGCCCCACACCAGAATTTCTAATTCTGCAGGTCTTGGGTAGGGCCAGCACTCTGCATTTCTGTCAAGTTCCCAGGTGATGCTCCAGATGCTTTGAGAACCTCCAGGCACCTCATCCTCAGCAACTCGGTGTCCTGAGGCAGTGACAGGGAGCTGGGCCACAGCTGGCAAGGCCCAACCTTAGAGGCACCAAAATACCCGGGAAGCTGCTGGAAACAGTCTTGTGGTGAGCCCCCTGTGCGGAGAAGTAAACTAAGGCACAGAGATCAGAGGCAGAGTAGAGAGAGGAGCCAGGATACCAGGGTCCAGTGGAGAGAGGATGGTGATGTAGGATCCCAAAACACAAGGGGTGTTCTGGGGCCCTAGGGGTAATCCTGGTGCTCATGATAAAATCACAGAATGGGGAGGCTCACAGAACCAGCCAAACAGAGATCTTCCCAGACTTGGGCAGGGTCTCCAGATTCCCAGCTGAGGTTCTTCTTCCCAGGAGCAGTTTGAGTTGGTATCCGAATGGAGTGTGACAACGCATCCAGGCCCTGACTAACTCGACCCTTCAAGGATGCTTCGAGGAAACCAGAGCTCCTTCCTTTAGGGCCTGAGGTCCCGTGGGCTGGTAAAGGGCAGGAAGGGAGGGAAACGGGGCTGACTGGATAAACGAGGGTCCAAGGAAGGTGAGGAAAGAGTAGCAGGTAGTGGGGAGGAGCCCTGGTCTGGGGAATGCAGGCCCAGCACCATGTCCCCTTTGGTTTTTGGGTCTGTGGACTTCGCAAACTTCAAACACTGTTGAGAGGGATAAGGGGTAAAGCCAGGACAAGCTGTTCTGGAGGCAGTGAGGCCCAGGGGAGAGCAGAGAGGATAGTGGGGTGTCAAATGGACAGACCAATGGATGAATGACCTAGGGAAAGAAGAACACAAGCCAGGCTGCATCTTCTTTACAAACAAGGCTAGGCAGGACTGGGTAGGGTACAGGAGCCCAGAAGGAGGGATTCAAGCCCCCCCCCAACAATAGTTGACACTGATGGGGTCCTGAGGTTGGGGACAGAGAAGATAATGTGGTTCAACAGTGGACCTAGGAGATGTCCTGCTGGGCTAGGAGGTCGCTGGGGCCAAGCCGAGTGAGAAGGGCTGGCAAGGCTGATGCTCTCTGAGGTGTTGGAAAGGTGCCTCCTTTAGTGTGAGAAAATGCAAAATAAATAAAACAGAACCCAGGAAACACCACCAGATATGACAGCAAACGTCGGAGTCGGGCAACCAAAGACGCAGGTACTTCCGGGACAGGACGGGAGTGGGAGCCCGAGGGGGCAGGGAGGGGTTGCTGAGGTAGCAGGGAAGTCCATGGCAGGGAGCAGAGCTGGAGAGGCTGTTCTGGGAGGGCTGAGGGATGGGTGCTAAAGTAAGCTTGGGACCCAGAAGAGAAAAACCTGATTACATACGGGTCACGGCGACTTGGTATGTTGGTGGGAACTGGCCGAGAAAAGGAGGCAGGAGGAGGGGAAGCTTTGGAGGAAGATGGTAACAGAGAGGATGGGTGGGAGGAGGGGAGCCAATAGACTGAGCCCAGAGAGAGGAAGGGGCCCAACTAAGAGCACAGAATGGCAGAGTGGGGTCTCATTCACCACTGGGGATGCAGAATCTGCTGGGAGTCAGGAAACCAGCATTCTGGTCTTGACTGTGCCTTTAGTTTACTATGGGTTTACTTGGGTGAGCCACTCTCTTCTCTGGGCCCAATTTTTCATCTAAAAAGGTGAGGAGGTTTGACACAAAAGTCCAGATATTGTGTGATTCCATTTATATGAGCTACCTAGGTGAGGCAAATTCATAGAGACAGAAAGTAGAGTAGAGGTTACCAGGGACTTGGGGAGGGGGCGATTTATTGTTCAGTGGGTACAGAGTTTCAGCCTGGGTGATTAAAAAGTTCTAGAAATGGTTAGTGGTGATGGTTGCATGGTTTCAAGTCTGGGTTAGGCAGTGGCATATTCTGGGTGTCCTGTACCCACAAAAAAAAGCCCCCAGTGAGGCAGTGGGTTTACACAGCAAGCAGGACAGAGTTGGGCTGGGGCATCCGATGGACCCAGGTCCTAGTCTAGGTTCGATGACTTCCCAGTTAGGTGACTCTGGGATGAGCCCTGCACCTCAGTTTCCTGATCTGCACTAACCCCTGTCCTGCCAAGGCTTCCTCCCACAGCTGTCCCTGAGAGGTCTGAAGCAGATGTGGGATAGGGGATAGGGGAGCAATTTCTAGATAGCAGAGTACTCTAGGTGGGGTGTGCAGGGGATGATTATTAGTATGAGTGAAGAAGTAGTGGGAGCTTGGCGGGGGCTGGTAAGGTTGGAAGTTGGGGTACATTCTGGATGGGAAGGGAGAGGGAGGGAGAGCCTGGAAGCTGGGTGGGCAAGAGGAGAACAGGCTGGGTGATGAAACCATGAAAGGTGCCTAGGGGTGGGTATGATGGGACCACATGACAGCATGTGGGAGGGTGAAGTCTTTGGGTCCTTGACTTTGTCAGCTGGGGAAGCAGCTGGGAGAGGAGTGTCCCTGGGAAGACCAAGAGGTGGGGTCCATTTTGAGTTCATAGAAAGCAAGACCTCTTGGAGGTATTTTTAATTTGGTCAGCCTTTGGTGGGGAACGACCTGGGAGGGAAAGAGGGGGACAGGAATTGGACACAGATGCCTTGTGCACACAAGATCTAGGAGCGACTGATGTGCCAAAGTGGTCTGATTTTCATTTCAAATACAGACATCATTGTCCCCAGGAGGGTCAAGTTTGGCTCTGGGAAGAGGTCGGACATAAGAAACGTGAGGTTGTCCAGTTCAGGGTCAACCAGGGCACCTGGCCCCCCACTTCCCCCCACCAACTGGTGCCAAGACGATAGATCCAAGTCCAGTGATCTGTAGGGGATTAGGACCCCAGGGTTCCTTGGAACTTTGGTGGGAGACAGTGGAGATGGTAGAAAAGGAAGAAGGATAGAGGAGGTCGGGGAGAAGGAAGAGGAGGAAGGTGCTGGGAGTCCAGTGATGGAAGAGAAGCAGGAAGGGGAGAAAGGGAAGAAGGGCAGTGTTCCTTCCTGGGACCCCAGTGCTCCAGGGGAATCCCCTGTGGGTCAGGCAGTTTTCTGCTTTGGGAATGTTACCAAGACTTAAAAGGCATTTGAAGAAACAAACAAACTTAGAAATTACATTCCAAAAGAGTAGAGAGTTTTTACAAACCAACCCCCCCACCCCAAAAAAGAAAACACAACCAGTTACTAATTAAAATGCTAAAAATCAAACCAAACCAATATTTACACATAACATTTTCAACCCCATTGAGCCCCACGTCCAGAGGCTTCTGCAGGAACAGTGGTGAGTGGCCTTGCACAGTGGAATGCAGGAAGTAGACACTCAAGGACTTTACTGAAAACCAAGATCTGGAGCCTCTGACAGCAGTTGGGGATCGGGTGGCCAGGCGCTGAGACAAGAAGACTGCAAGGACAGTGTTGGACGAGGACGATGGTAAGGCTGAGTGGTCCGTAGGCCTCGGGTTTCGGGTCTCATGAGGATTTCTCCCCAAGGCTGGGAATGAAGCTTGGGGAGCTTCCATAGCCCTCCATAGCTTAGGGAGGTGGCAGAAGGCCTCTGGTGGCATGTGGCCTGGTGTGAGTCCCCTCACCTGAAGATAACCTTGGAGGGGCCCCCTGACCTTTTGAGTGGGAGCAGTAGCATCCCAGGGGGGGGACTGGCCCATGGCTCCCGTGGCCGGCCTGCTCTGCCCACACAAGTCACTATGGCATGAGCAAGGACCTGGTCAGACTGCCATGACCCTTGCATTGTGCCCGTAGGGAATGGAGATGAAGGACTTTGGGTAACTTGTCCAGGTGACCCTGAAAGGGCAGGACTGGGAGCAGGTGGGATTGCAGACGTGTCTCCTGAGTCCTGGGGGCAAACTCACAAAGCTGCTGGCTTTTGGTCTTCCTGCATTCCGCAGACAAGCTGCTTCATTCTGGTATTTCCACTCTGAGCCCCCAGCCAATGGCAGGGGGTTCACGCATCTGCGTGTGGCGGGCATGTGTGCAACCGATACGGGTTCACTGGCACCAAGGGAGAGGCCATCTGAGGCCTTTCCCGCCACACTGCAGTACGTCCGATGGCTCAGGCAGCTCACGTGGGACGTGGGGAAGCGCGGGCAGGGGGGCTGGGGCTGGAAGAGGGGCCAGGAGAGGGCATAAGGCTAAGGAAAGAGGCTGGTGAGAAGGCTGGCAGGTGGTGAGAGCTGAGGCAGGCTGGCAGACACTCTCAGGTCCATGTGCAAAGCTGCAATAAACAACATTCTCGAAGTTCAGTCCTGTTTTCCCATGAGTTCTCACTTGGGGAACTTGGAGAGATCTCCACGCTCTTGATAGAACCTTAGTAATCTATGTTTGACTCATTAAAAAAAAAAAGGTTTCAGAGGGAGGAGCAAAATGAGAGGGCAGATGGAGAATGTTTGGGAAGTGGGGATGTCGGCCCAGCCCCCCACCCTGTCAGCCAGGGTTTGCAGACTGACTGCTGGGGGCTGGCCAAGTACCAGTGAGTGAAAAGCAGTGCTCTGAGGCCAGATGGTCAGCAGAATTGGGGAGCAAGCTGCCGGGCTTGTCAGCTGGGGAAGCAGTCTAAACTTGACCAGGAGACCCGAGCTCAGCGGCCGAGCTGCCTCGTCTGCATGGGGGAACCCCATGCCTGCCCATTGTGTTAGAAGCCTCACTTTGTCCCAGTGGCAAAAATACATGTCTCGACCTCCAATAAATTACCTTAGGGACTTTGGGGTAAATTAAATTATTAAAATAAAGTAAAACCACCTTAAATATTTATAGTAAGAAAAATTCAAATAAACAACTGAGGCAAGAAATGTGTTTCCAGGCCCCCATCCACTGCCGTGTCCTGGGGACACTGGCCTCTGGGAGTGCTCCTTGGCCTGGCGTGGCCAACTGGGAGTCTCTCATTGGGAATAGCTTTGCCCTCCACCAGCCACAGGATGTAAACACAGTGGAGATGTGGCGCCCCTCCAGGGTGTTGGGAAAAGAGACCCCAGCGATCAAGGCAGTGGGCATTCAGGCATTTATCTGTGCACCAGGTCTTGAAACTGACTCTACCTATTTCTATCCTGGGAAGGTTGGTGCCCCCCCAAGTCACCTTGATGAGGGAGGCAGTTCCAGTGGCTACCCAACCCTGAGCCCCACATGTTTCCACCTCATTCTCCAGTCCTTGCTGCATCCAGGCTACGGGCAGGGAGATCCAGCGCCCCAGGATTCCAGGCCGATAACCTGGCCCTGGCTACTGCCCTATCATACCCCCTAGGGCCACAGTGATCCAGAGCAGTGGGGCTGGGAGGAGGAAGCGGTGGAGGGAAGGAAGGGATGGGGATGATGCCCAGCTCAGCTCCACCAGGAACCCCACGTTCTTGTCATCGGTGTTTCCTCCCCACGAAGGAGGACATGGTTGGCAGGGAACATCTGTGAGCGCTTTTCCCTGAGGAGCACCGCCAGAAGTGTATCCTTTCCTTGGCTCTTCTGAGAAGTGACTGCGGGCAGAACCAGGCGAGGCTCTCCGAACGGACTAGCTCCCAAGGGATCCCTCTGGAGCCACCTCCGACGCCTAGGTGTGCTCTTTCTCCCACTGACTGCCTTCCCCTGGGAAGTCCAGGATCACCACCCAGCAGTCAGCAGGAGACCCCGCTTTACCTGGATGGGAAAGCTGTTCTCTGGCAGTGGTGTAGCTGCTGTCCATCCAGGGCAAGACGATGCTGGGGGCATGGGCCCCTTGCCTCGGCTCCTCCTCGCGGGTTTCCTTCGGCAATGCAGGGACTGGGCTGGTTGAGGTGGGGAGCCCGGCTGCTCTGTCACTCGCTGGGGGGAGCTGCCCTCTCCTCCCCACCCCAGCCGGACTCTGAAGGGTGCAGCCGGCACTTGGAAGGAGAGTGGCGGAGGGCAGAGCGGGACGGCCGGGCGAAGCAGGAGGTGAGAGACTGGGTGCTACAGTCACAGAGAGCATCCTGGGAGAAGGGAGGAGGAAGTCAGGAGGAGCCAAGAGGCACTGACCACCCAGGGGCTGTGTGGTCGGCCGGGCAAGGAATTGGGACTCAGCTGTGCCTGGGGACCAGGTCCCAGGGGCTATGGCCCCTCTCTGGACCAATTTTTTAAAATTGTCTTTCTTGGGCGCCTGGGTGGCTCAGTTGGTTAAGCGACTGCCTTCGGCTCAGGTCATGATCCTGGAGTCCCGGGATCGAGTCCTGCATCGGGCTCCCTGCTCAGCAGGGAGTCTGCTTCTCCCTCTGATCCTCCCCCATCTCATGCTCTCTCTCTCTGTCTCATTCTCTCTAATAAATAAATAAAATCTTAAAAAAAAAAAAGTTTAAAATTGTCTTTCTCCTCTTAGAACAATAATAAATATTCATAAATAACATTCCAGAATGTAATGAATTCTGGAATATACAGAGAAGAAAGTGGACATTGTCCATCAAAGATAAATTCTCAACATTGCACAAGCATACATTTATCAAAATGACATCATCTCCTACTGCCTATTTCATAACTGCAAAACAAACACTTTTCTGTCACTATGTATACCTAGATTTCCTTCTTTTTAGTGGCTATATACTACTCTACTGAATGGAAATACCTTAATTTATTTATCCAATTCATGTTTTATGTGCATTTTAGGTAGTTTCTCATTTTTTACTATTATCAACACACCAGCAATAATGGTTAAAAGTGCTGTTATTGAACTAGATTCCTTGGTTGAAATCCCAGCCCTGCCACTTACCAGCTGTGTGACCTTGGGTAAGTTACTTAACCTCTCTGAACCTTGATTTCCTTCTAAGATGAAGGACATGATACCTTTCTCAAAATTGTTGTGAGGTTCAAATAAAAAATGATATGCAAAGCACTTGGCATAGTGCCTATTAAGTATTCAGTAAATGTTAGTAATTTTTATTAATAATGCCATACATTTATTGATACAATGTTCTCCCACCTCTGTGAATATTTCCATAGGCTACATTCCTAGAACTACTGGGTCAATGGGTAACATGCACATTTTATATACTGAAAAAAATTTGGATCAACTTTAAAATCAACATTCAGGGGCACCTGCGTGGCTCAGCCGTTAAGCGTCTGCCTTCAGCTCAGGTCGTGATCCTAGGGTCCTGGGATTGAGGCCCACATCGGGCTCCCTGCTCAGCGGGAAGCCTGCTTCTCCCTCTCCCACTCCCCCTGCTTGTGTTCCCTCTCTCACTATGTCTCTCCCTATCAAATAAATAAATAAAATCTTTAAAAATAAATAAATAAAATAAATAAAATAAAATCAACATTCAAAATACAGCCAGCTTGTATATTTGTCTCTTTATGTACATGGTTCTATGGGTATAATGGTTAATTTTCTGTGTCAACTTGACTGAACCACAGGGTGCCCAGATATCTGATCACACATTATTCTGAGAGTTTCTGTGAGGTTGCTTTTGGATGAGATTAACATTTAAATCAGTAAAGCAGATTGCCCTCTCCAATGTGGGTGGGCCTCATCTAATCAGTTGAAGGCCTGAACAGACCAAAAGGCTGACTCTCCCTGAATAAGAAGGACTTCTTCCTGCCTGATGGCCTTAGGACTGGAACTACATTAGCTACATATGCTGTCCTGGAATGACATCACTGGCTCTCCTGGTTCTCAGGTTTTTGAGCTCAGACTGGAGCAGACTGGAGCAGCTCTCCTGGGTCTCCAGCTTGCTACCTTACCCTGTAGATCTTAGGACATGTCAGCCTCTGTAATTGTGGAAGCCAATCCCTTATAATAAATCTGTTTCTCTCTATAAAAACACATGTATACAGACACACAGACACACACATACATATAGCCTACTAGTTAAAAAAATTTTTTTTGAGTATAGCCACAGGACTCAAACTCACAACCCTGAGACCAAGAGTCCCATGCTCCACTGACTGAGCCAGGCAGGTGCCCCATCAAACTGTCTTTCAAAAGAGTTTGCCCAATTTCTACAGCCTCTAGTAATATGTGGTTAGTGTTGTTTTTAAGATATTTATTTATTTGAGAGAGACAGTGCATATGAAAAAGAGCATGAGGCGGGGGGGGAGGGCAAAGGGAGAGGGAGGAGCAGGCTCCCCGCTTATCAGGATGTCTAACATGGGGCTCGATCCCAGGACCCCAGGATCACAAGCTGAACCGAAGGCAGATGCTTAACTGACTAAACCACCCAGGCACCCCTGTGGTTAATGTTTTATTTCTCTATACTCTCAACCAGCTGTCTATACTTAAAAAAACTTCCAGTTTAATGTACATACTGAACGTATCATGAAAATACATCTTGCTGAATTCTCATAGACTAAATACACCCACTGTATTAGGGTTATCTAGAGAAACAGAACCAACGGGCTGTGTGTGTGTGTGTCTGTGTATGTATGTGTGTAGAGATGAAAATCAAGAGGGAGGCAAACCATAAGGGACGCTGAACTCCAGGAAACAAACTGAGGGTTGCTGGAGGGGAGGTGGGGGGGAGATGGGGTAATCAGGTGATGGGCATTAAGGAGGGCACCTGATGTAATGAGCACTGGGTGTTGTAACAACTGATGAATCACTAAATTCTACCTCTGAAGCTAATAAAAAAATTTCTTTTAAGCTTTAAAAAAAAACAATTTGGCAATATTTATCAAATACCTTTAAAATTTTTATATTCTGTTAGCCTATAATCCCATTTCTGCAACTTAAACCTAAGGAAATAATCCAAAATGTGGACAAATATTTTTGCACCAAGATGTCCACCACATCATTATGCCTGATAGAGAAAATCTAGAAACCACCTAAACATACAATACATACAAATGGGTCAGTCCTAGCCCACGCCACCTCTCTGCACCCCCACCTATGACCTTTACTGAGTGCACCACAGGCCACATGATACCACCCCTGACCACAGCTGATCAGACCATGGGGGTACACTGGACTCAAGGTAGACCAATCACAGTTTCTTCTTTCTTCTAGGAATGTGGAATTGGGACAGAGGGATCTGAGTCAGTCTCTCTTAGGTACTTGAATTAGAAGCTATTATAAAAGCAGAGCTGGGACCATTCACGCAAATGCAGCAGAGAGAGAGGAAGAAAGCAGACATCAGAGAAAACAAAGCCCAAGGGAAACGATAGGGAGACAGAGAAGTCTGAGACCTTCAGGTCCTTGCATTTGGGATCCATAAGATACTCCACCATTTCCCTTTCTGGAAAACTAACTTATATGCATTCTTTCACTAACATGCAAATAATCCTTAACCAAATCCGAAACTGATTGATATCAGGAGTGGGGTGTACAGCAAAAGATTCTTGGAGAAAATGGAAGCGCTTAGGCACAGAGTTTTGGGAGGGGGGCAGGGGTGTGCTGGAAAATGTTTAATAACTAGTTTTCCAGGAATGAGGGGAGAAGCCCTGATTTGGAGCATTTGTCAATTTTCATGGTGTAAATCCTCCCACTGTGGCCACTCTCAAGGTGCCAAGGTGTTTTACTGAACACAGAGATGCACACGATTAGCTCTCATCGACTCCAGCACACCAATGCAGGAGAGCAGTGAGGACACCTCTTCCCTGGAGGGGATGCCAGCAATCTCTGGTGTGTGGTGGAAAAGCAGCTGGTTAAGCCTCACTCACTCACCTCTTGGTATTCAGACCCTGTGTCCATCAGGCTGTTGTTCCAGGTCTGGGGTCTTCTAACCCCCGTTGTATCTATCTATCTATCTATCTATCTATCTATCTATCTATCTACCTACCTACCTACCTACCTACCTACCTACCTACCTATCTATCTATCTACTTTTAAGTGGGCTCTATGCCCAACATGGGGCTTGCACTCATGACCTTGAGACCAAGAGTCACATGCTCTACCGACTGAGCCAGCCAGGCGCCCCCCCAAACCCCTATTCCAGACCAGCAAAAGGACTTTTTGAAACAGAACCATGTTCCTGAATTTGAAAGCCAAGAGAGTTTGGACCTTATAAGTCAACCTCCCCTACCCCAAGAAGAAGAGTAGACCCCACCCACCTACCTCGTTGGGAAGGGCTGTGGCTCCATCTCCCTCCCGGGGGACACCATCCTTCCCCACCTGGGGGAGCACCGAGAGTCTGGCCTCCTCGCTGCCGCCTGACTTGGCTGCCTTCTTGTTCAGGATCCTGGCCATGCCCTCTGGCTGATGGTAGCTGGCAGGGGAGAGGGGCTCCGGCTTCTTGGTGCTCTCCTCCCCTGCCGCAGAGGTGGGGCTTGGCGCCCGGCCACACACATTACGGAAGAACTCCTGCACGATGCCATACTTTGGAGGCTCGGGCTTGGCCCGGGCCTCGGACATGCCCAGTTTCCAGACAGACTCTGTGCTCCCCGAGTGCTCCACCACACTGAAGAGGCTGGACAGCCCATCGTTGATGTTCCTCAACACGGGGCTATCCCGTGTGGTGGTGGACCGGGCCCAGGCCGAGCCGTTCTGCTTGCCCTGGTGCAGGTTCCAGAGGCTGCGGTCCTTGGCGCTGTCCAGCTTGGACACTGATCGCCTCTGGAGCTTCGGCGAGCCGTACTTGGGGGAGCAGCACGGCCGCTCGATGCGCGAGTGCACCTTGTCCAGGGAGGAGGAGATCTGCTTGCTGCGCACGGACACGAGCGAGGAGCTGCGGGGTGACCAGCTCTTGCTGTGGAGACTGCTGCGGGGGGGGTCGGTCTGCAGGCCCACGCTGACAGTGCGGATGGTCTGCGTGCCCACGCTGGTCAGGCCCACCGTCTGGCTGGACGCGCTCTTCACTTTCCTCTCCAGTGAGCCCGAGCGCATGGCCTGGCGCACGCAGTTGGTGATCTCCTTCATGTCGTCGCTCATGTTGCCAGACATCTCAAAGTCGTGCAGGGCCGCTGGGAAGCCAGGCCCTGGCGCCGACGGGCTGCCCCCCGAGCCTGCGTCCAAGCGCTGCCGTGAGAAGTTGCAGAGCCACCGGCTGTAGGAGCTCTCGGCCAGCCCGTCGGCCTCAGCCGACTCTTTGGGCTTGGCCGTGGTGAAGAGGAAGCCGGGCTCGATGATGATCTTGCCCTCCCTGTCGTGGACCACGGGGACGCCCAGGCGCCGGGCCACCGGGGGGCTGTAGTACACACGGATGCCCGTCTTGTCGGGGGCCGTGTAGCTGCGCTGCATCTGCCTCCCCGCCGGCTCCTGGCAGCCCAGGGTGCCCAGGCGGTTGCAGTCCCGCGGCGAGAGCCCTGGCTGCTCCTGGGCATCCTTCTCCGGGTCCACCGGCTGGGTGCCCACAAAGGCAAAGGCAGGGTTGTTGGGCAGCTTCTTACCGCGGGCCGCGTCCCCGGCAAGGTAGGGGGAACAGTCAAGCAAACTTTCAAACTCAGACATGGAGGAAACAGATTTGGTCCTGGGAGGAGCGGAGGAGGGAAGAGCAGTGTTAGTGGGAGAAAACAGAGAGGGGGCAGGCGCTCTGGTCTTCCTCCCTGGCCCACACACTGCACAAGAGCTGGGACCACGCCCGTCCTGCTCGCCTCTCGTGGAAGATGCTGTTGGTGCCCTCCCCCATCCCGCCTCGGCACCTCTGCACCTACGTACCCAACACAGCACACTGCACACCTGCTATTCTCTGCCTAAGCTTTCTTGTGACTGCAAGACACACTTGGCCTCCACGCAGAGGAAGCGACAAATATCACAGAGTTTGGGCCCTAGACACAGACCTCAACAAACAATGGGCGGATCTGGTGGCTCAATACCCAGCCTCCTTGATCCTTGGGTGGGAGAACTCTGCGTGGCACGTTCCACTCGGGCTCCCAGAGTTCCTCAGTGAAACTGAGCTTCGGTTGTCCACAGAATGACGACATCCCCCTTTACTGGCTGCCTTCCCTTCCTCGGGTCACTTCCAGTGTTTCCCAAATCCCTTCCCAAATAAACCATTTGCACTCAGATCCTTGTCTCAAGATCTTTGAGACAAGTTCTCGAATCCTGTGTTTGCTTTTGGGGGAACCCAAATAAGGTGTCACTAAATCTCTGCCACAGACCTGGCACATGTTGCCTGATGACCAAAAGTGCCAGGCGGACGTAAGTACATCTCAGAGCCAGACCATTCGACCCTCTGGTAACTCTAGTAGACAGCTCCTATTATCCCCACTAGAGAGAGATATCAAGTATCAGCCAAGGTCACACTCCTGGAAATGGCAGAGCGGGAGTTCAAACCCCGCCCTCTGACTCCAGAGCCCACCCTCCTACCCTGGCCCTCCTGGCCTGAGGTTGCTCTCATGGCTCTGATGGGCTTCTGTCACCCTCATTCTATTCATGGGTTTCCTGACAGTGGAGACATGGCCCCGACAGCCCCGGGGTCTCCCTGGCCATAGCGCAGGGCCGGGCCCAGAGTAAGCTGCTCAGTAATCCCAGGAACGGAAACCCAGCCTGCATTCCCCTAACTCCAGATGCAGGGAGAAGGAACCCCAAGAGGAGCTGAACAGTTTCTTTCAAAGCGAGGATATACGGAGCCCCGGGTTTTCATGCATGTCCACAATCAAACAAACAAGAAAAATCACGGGCTGCAGTTCTCACTGTCCCAAGCTTCCCGGCTCCTGAGGGGCTTTGGCTCCATAGAAACCATATCCCAGGGCTCTCCCTGCTCTGCTGAGGTGCCATGGTGGGCACGTGGGGCGAGGAAAAGAGGACAGGCAAAGGGGTGGAGCAGGGAGAGGTGCCTGAAGGGCGAGGCAGGGGAGGGGCTGCCGGGCAGGGCAGGGGGAGGGGATGCTAGCACCTTTTTAAGGCGGTGCCCCCAAGGTCAGCTTCAGAAACCGCCTCCTTGTCGAGAATCTTCTCATTCCGTGTCTGTCAAGAAAGAGAGGCAGGAAGGGTGAGTTCTGGCCACCAGCGTACCGAGGGAAGGGGACAGGAGGAGGTCAGCGCAAGAGCTGACCCGGGATCCCACGCCTGAGTCTCCTCTTACAGAGCAGGAGTGAGGTCAGCACTGATCTGGAATGCCTGTTGGTGGGCGCCTGGGTGGCTCAGTTGGTTAAGCGACTGCCTTCAGCTCAGGTCATGATCCCGGGGTCCTGGGATCGAGTCCCGCATCAGGCTCCCTGCTCTGCGGGGAGCCTGCTTCTCCCTCTCCCACTCCCCCTGCTTGTGTTCCCTCTCTTGCCGTGTCTCTCTCTGTCAAATAAATAAATAAAATCTTAAAAAAAAAAAAAAATGGAACGCCTGTTGGTCAGTTTCTGGCTATAGTGGGTCTCACACTCCTTCTGTGGGTATGTGATCCAGGCCTGGCCAATCAGAGCTCCGAGAGAGAACCCCAAGGAAAGAGTCTTTTTAGAAGTTATTCTGAATGTGGCCGCAGCAGCAAAGCAGACGGTGGCCACGGTTCAGATGGCGGTGACAGCAGTGACCTCAAGGTTCCTGCTCAGGGCTGGTCTCCCCCTGGATCCAGAGCAGGTCCCCTGGGACTTGCACCCGTTTTTCCGAACCTGCATCACCAGCCCTCTTGCGCCCCGATTAAATCCTCTCCTGCCTCAGTTCCTCCCAGTGAGTGTTTGTGGCTTGCAACTACACCTCCTAACACACCACTTCCTCGGGCTGTCCTGAGCAAAGAGCTGTTACGGCCACTGTTTGGTCACTGAGAACGCTGCTATGTGGACAAGGCCCCTGAGGCTTAGGAGCAAATTTTACCAAAGTGACCTAACTGGTCTCCAAAGAGAGGGCGGGCTAAAGCAGAGAATGGGATTCTCATTTTACTGCGGAGGCAACCGGAGCCCAGAGAGGGAGAGAGTGACTCGCTCAAGACCACACAGCTATTCAGCGGCCTCGCTTTGCAGAAAGGCACGGCTGAAACCAAGAGATAGCAAGCACCTGGCCAAGAGCACCGAGACAGCCGCCTCTCTCCCGGGTGTGGGAGGACGGAGCTGACAGATGGCTCCTCATAAGTCCCCAACCATCGGCTGCAACGATGGGGTAGAGGTCCCAGGACTGAGGAGCCCAGAATGCAAGGGGGCAACCTGTGGGACAGAGTTAGCCTCCTCTCCGTCACATCCCCAAGTGAGGGACTTGGCAGTGCAGCCAGGAGCCAAGAGAACACGAATGGCCTGCTACCCCGCTCACCTCTTTCCAGCTATTGTCCTGCTTCTCCAGGTCTGAGTGCTTCAGGATCCAGGGTTCAGCGGCCTTCTGCAGCTGCGCAAGGGTAAAGAGGATAGTCAGTGGCAGGCGAGGCTGGCGAGGCTGATGAGCGGGGCCTCGCTGTGTGCAGGGTCAGTCCCCAGGCTCTGCTCGTAGCTCGAACGACCCAGTCATGGACGAGGAACCAGCTTCCCAGTGGGCAGCAGCCCCGAGCCACCAAAAGATGGATTTGGAAAATGACCATGAAAGCAACCACTTACAGGCATCCTTATAGATGCCCTTCTGTCTGCTCCAGTAATGGCTGTCACTACTGTCCTACTTCATGCTGCAAATCCTGGACCGGCTAGGTCGGCTAAGCAGCATCCCTAGTGTGGGGGACCCACATTAGGAATGAGGCCAGCCCCTATACTCTGTCCTGAACAGCTCTCTATGAAAGAGGCAAATCAGTATAAACAATATGTATCTCACGATTACATTAAATCAGTATAAACAATATGTATCTCACGATTACATTATTGATTAGAAAAAAACCGATCTCTGTGAATATAAATTTAAGTAGCAAGAAAAGGAAGGAATGGGTTGGAGTATGCTTTTGCAATATTTGGGTCTTATATAAAGATGAAGTCCTGAGTTATGTAATTAAAATAAAAAGTAAAACAAAGGAAAAGAGTCAAAGAGTGGCGCATAGAAGCTTGGTAAGGAGCACCTGGGTACATGATGTGAACTCTAGTAGGGTGTAATGGTCAGTGACGGTTTTTTCCTATCCCCCCTCTTTTGGTCAGAGGACTCTAATTTCCCCAAATTTTCAGGGTTCAGTAGGCTCTAGGGGTAGGCACATGACTTAACAACTGGCCAATAAGCCTCGTGGAAAAGGAAAACTCTATTGCCTTTGGTAAGCCGGGAAGGTCTGAGCACAAAACTAACAGTGACCATATCCGAGGCTTGCTTATGAATAAAGCACAAAGGAAAGCAAGCCTGAGAGACTGGCAGAGAGACAGACCTAGCACCTAGTACGGTCTCTGAGCACCTTGATCCAGCTATAACTGAAGGCGATCCCAGCCCCAGACTTCTCCCACAGTGAGTCCCCCTGGTGGCTGGAGCAGGCCTCACCTGGCTCAGGCGGTTCTGCAGCTCCTTCACCTGCTGCTCCACCTGCTGCTTCTCACCCTGAAGCCGCTCCACCAGCTGCAGCTTCTCCTGGCTCCAGTTGCGCTCACTGATCTGCAGCTGCCGCGTCAGCTCCATGACGGCGCTGTAGGACTCAGCCAGCAGGTGCTGCTGCTCCTCACGCTCCCGCTGCAGGGCTGCCCGCTCCCCAGCCCCCTTGCCAGCCTTCAGCTCCATCTGCAGCACAAGGAAGAGCAAACTGGGTGGCTGGCACCAGGAGACCCTTCCTCTCTGGCCCCCTGGCCGCCCTTCCCTCTCAGGCACCCGTAGGGGGTGGCGGGGGGAGAGCTCTGCTCTGAAGACCCCTCACCTGCTCACTACCCCATGCAGAACTAAGCCCTCCTCACAGCCAGGCCTTGCTCAAGCATTATCTCAGCATCCTTGTGAAATCTCAGCAAGACAGCTACCTTTTACGATATTTTGCAGAGGAGAAAGAGGTTCGAAGAAGTTACGTTATTTGTCCCAGGTCACGCAGCTACAAAATGGCAGAGTTTCCTAGTTGTTGCTTCTCATATTTTATCAACTCTCCCAAGTGGTCTGGGTTTATGGTTGGGGGGTACGCACCCACAGTCACATAATGAATGTGTGAATCAGTCCAGTATGACGACCTTCACGCCACCGAGCCTCGGGGTGGCAGGACGTAAACACGCAGCCTCAAGCATCAGTGTGCCCCAGATCCCCCAGGCTGTGGTCTGGTATATTAGCCCCCACAGGGGCTGGTCAGCCTCCCAGTGGGTAGGGCACCTGGAATGTCTGGGTTTGGGGAGCAGCAGGAACAGTCAGAGGAAAAGAGGGTGACAGGGAAGCCAGAAGTCTGTGAGCACTGGGCAGAAGGTTGGGTTCGCGGTAATGAGAAGCCAGGAGGGGCAGAGGTTTGGGGAGCAAAAGTCAGATCTGCTACTTACTAGCTGGGTGACCTTGGGAAAGAAACCTAACCCTTCTGTGCTGGTTTTGTTACTTGTCCAGCAGTGACCATCAGTGTACACATCCCCACGGGGCCCGTGATGCCCAGGAAGGCAGCCTACAGCAAGGGCAGACCTGGAGGAAGCTGGGACCTGGAGAGTCGGGGCAGGTGGGGTTGGTGGTGATGGTCAGGGCATCCTCTCTGAGTGGGAGGAAACCCACCCTCTCACTTTTCACACCAGAGGAGGGCAGCAACTTGCCTCTGGGCACACAGCAGAGACCACAGCTCCAGGGCTCCTGGTTAGGCTCCTGTGGTCACACTGGGTTGTGGGGAGGGGAGTTTCCCAGTTTGTGTGGAAGGAGTAAAACAAAGCCAGGGAGCAAGGGACAAAGGGGATCCTTATGGGCGGGGGGAGCGAATGAGGAGAGCAGGCAGCAGAAGCCTGGCTATGCGCGTGAAGGATGTCACCAGGTGCAGACAGGCATTTAAGCATCTGGCTTCACCCCTGAACCCAGAGTGCAGCAGATGTGCCAGTGATGTCCTGTGCCCATCTGCCTTCACTTTCCTTCCTTGGCCCAGTGACTCCCAGTCCCCAGTGTTTGTGGTACCCTTGCTGTGTGCCTCAAGGTAAATCTCTTGCCCTCTCTGGGTCAAAAGAGGAGGTAAAGGGGTTCCTATGCTTCTTAGGAGCATGGCTTGGGCATCATGCTCCCAGATCTGACAGCTATGAGGGCTTAGATGAGGGAGGCACAAGGGGGGAAATGTCTCTGACAGGTAGGGGCCTCACCTGGGCAGTATGGCTCTTCAACTCTGCCCGCTCCGTCTCCCAGGTGGCCTTGGCCTTGGCAAACTGCTGCTGGAGCTCGGTCAGACCACGGCGTTCATCCCGAAGCAGCCAGCACAGCTCCTTCAGCGTCACCTTCATGTCGGCCAGTGTCTTGATATACTCGTTGGGCTGCAGATGGGGGCAAGGCCTGGGTCAGGAGCTTTGGGGGGGCGGGGAAGGGGAGCTGGGCTGGGAGCACTCACCCAGAGTCCAGCCTGGGACTCTACCCAGTCTCGAGCAAACCCCATGACCCCCAGGTCATCTCACCCAGCCAAACCCGGGCCTGGCCACCTCCTAGGTTGACATGTGCCCCAGCCTCACATGAACAAAAAAACCCTGAGGTCACAGCAATTATTATTCAGCCTAAATGTGAGATGGGCCCTGGCTTCTTCAAGCTTCTGCAGACTCTAGGCCCTGGGTCTTTGTCCTTGCCCAAGATGTGCCTCTCTGACGCACTGTGGGCCACATGGGGAATCCCAACTATGCGGCCTCCCTGACTGCCTGACTCAGTCCCCATCTTCTCTCCTTGGCCCATGACCTGTTTCCCACCTACCCAAGCTCACTGTGTATGACCCTGGGAGCCTGTCCCCATTGCTCTCTCTGCCCCATGGCTTGATTTGGGGGTCAGACCACAAGGCCTCTCTTCATACGACCCCAACTTGATGTCCTTACCCCCACTATGTACATCCCAAGCCACAGCCAATCCCAGAATACCCTGCCACACCTCTGCACACACGGTTCTCTAGGTCCAAAGGGCCTTTTCCCCACTCTCTATTATGCAACCTCCCATTCATCTTTCGAAACCCACCACCCTTACCTCTTCTCTGTGACACTGTCCCCTACACTCCAATTAACTGCTCTTCTGCATGTGACCACGCAGTCCCTCAGCTGTCACTGCCCCTGGATAACTTCTGAACCCCACAGCACTCAGCATCTGGGGCCAGTAACCAGGTAATGACCCTCTGCAGCTCCAGTGCCCCATGCAAAACAGGTCAGGGAAGGTGGCAGAAAGTGATCACTAAACAGAGGAAGCACGGGCAGGACAGGACTGGGAAGGGGCTGGGAACGCACCGTGTTTTGGGTCCAGCTGTCCCCTGCACAGGTCTTGTTATCTGAATGCTGGGCATTTAATTCCTCTTCCTCCATTAGCAGGTACAGCTCCTTCATGCTATTTACCTATTTTTAAAAAGCCACTTTCAACGGGGGCCAGAAGGGTGTCATGCTTGGGAGTCTGACCATCAGGAGAGGGGATTCAGGCTAGCGGCCCAGATGGAAAGGGTACAACACAGCCAGGCAGGAAGAAAGAATGGGTTTGATGGTCCAGGATGGATCAAAGGCACTCTAGTTGGACACTGATTTCCCTTTTAACTTTGGCTCCTGGGCACCATCAAGGCCTAGGAGTACAGCTGGAAAGGCAGGCCCTTCTGTCCTCCCATACAACCTCTTCTGCCCCAAGGGCCATGAGGCATCCTGGAGAGCTACTCAGAAATAACCATGTTGACAGGCTGGGTCCACAGGTAGACCCTGTGGGTGGAATAAAAGGGCCATGGGCACCCCCATAATTATAGAAAAGGCAACCAAAGGTTGGGGTGGACAGAGAGAACCTTCCTAGGAGGGGCTTTGCTGCTGATGGATTCTGCTTAGAAGTCCAGAGCCAGCCAAGGAAACCAGGGTACTAGTTCAGGCTGGGAATGAAGCAGAAGGAAGCTAGCTTCTGACTGGGGCACTGATTCATCATTCACTCAACAAAGAGTTACTGAAAACCTACCATGCACCAGGCCCTGTGTCTGGAGCTGGAGATACACCAGTGAGCAAGACAGACAAAAACCCTTGTCCCCTTTAACTTCCATTCCAGTAGCAGGAAGACAAACAAATAAGTGAAATGTAATGAAATGGCATTAAATGTCTAGAATGTCACACAGTGAAGAGCCCCGGGGAGTAAGAGCAAGCCAAGGAGCTGGGGTGTGCTGCGTGTGGGTAGTCAAGGAGGGCCTCCCTGCAGGTTGAGAATTCTGGGGAAAGGGCACAGCAAATGCCAAGGTCCTGAGGTGGGAACATGTCTGTGTGAGGGAAGCAGGAGAGCCAGGGAGAAAGTGAGAGAGGTACGGGGAACAAGGCTGGTCGCCCAGGCCCAGGACTTGTAGGGACTTCGGCTTCTGCTCTGGGTGAAATGGGAGCCAGGAGGGACGCCCACCTGACGTGAGGTTTCACGAGATCACTGCAGCTGCTGAGCTTATTGGGCAGCAACAGAACCCCCCGTCACAAAACTCCGGGGGATGCCATCCATGTGCAATACATGCCGCCTGGGGTACCTCCTCATACCCTTCTGAATGCAAGATGCTTGGTGGAAAGGTGCAAGAGCAGAGCAGGGAGGCCAGGTAAGAAACCTGCAGTGAAAATCCAAGCAAGAAGGGACGGTGGCTCAGCCGGGAAGGAGCGCAGAGCAGCTGGGTCAGCCTCTAGACAGAGTCTGGATAGAGTCCCAAGGTGCAAGAAAGGCCATTTAAGCCATGTACCTGGACAAGCTCCCCAAGGGAGCAGGTGGAGTTACGGGAGAGACGTAGCCCAAGGGCTGAGCCTTGAGGACTCTGACGTTAAAAGAGGGCAGGGAGAAAAGGAGGGTCCAGTCAAGGAGGCCGAGAAAGAGCAACCAGTGAGGTGGACGGAAACCCGAGAGAGTGTGATGTTCTAGAAACCAAATGAAGAAGGTTTTCTAATGTCAACACGGGCACCGAGGCTGGGAAGTATGGGGTGGGGGGCGGAGGGCATGCAGGGCAGGGCCTGCCTGAATAAACATCCCAATTCTGGCTCTGGTCACGAGTGTCTGAACATACAGACTATGGTTGTCTGTAGACACAGGTGCGCGATTCTTTCTCCAAAATCCTTGGGGCCAGGTGTGCTCGGAATTGAGGATGCACAGGGATTTAGAAAGACAATGTGGTACCCACACTGTATGTTGTACCACTGCCCCAGCAGGGCCTGGTGAACACCCTCTGCTCTACCACGCTCATGATTCCCCTACAAACATAGGAATATTAACAGGAAATGGGATAAATAAAGGTTCTGCTGCCCAATGAATGTCAGGCCAATCTTTTCCAACTGAGTTAGATACAACCAAACACAGCTCTCAGAGCTTCTGGATTTCAGAACTGAGGCAGGGAATCAAAGATCTTTATCTGCAGTAGAATGGGAATAATAGCTATCTACATTTCATAGCATATTTGTAAAGATGAAATGCAGTAATTCACCTGAAGTATTTAAAACAGTATCTAGAACACCATATTCAATGCCTGAGGGTTGTTTTTTTTTTATCATTCACATGTATAGTAGCATTTCACACATAAAATTCTGCAGGGATGGACACATATTCTTTGAGAGTATGAATGTATACCAAGCTTACTTTATTTATTATTTTTTTTGGCAGCAAAGCAAGGTTTATTGAGCGATAGCAAAGCGATAGTACAAACCTCCCAAGGAGGGAGGGGACCCGAGGCGGTTGCCCCCAAGTTTATTATTTATACAGCTTTATGTATGTGCATATATCATGTTAATATACACATATATATCTATTTTGACAATATATGTGGTTATGTTTATATCTTTTTTAAAAAGATTTCATTTTATTTTTTTTTAAGATTTTATTTATTTATTTGACAAAAAGAGACACAGCGAGAGAGGGAACACAAGCAGGGGGAGTGGGAGAGGGAGAAGCAGGCTTCCCGCGGAGCAGGAAGCCCGACGCGGGCCTCGATGCCAGGAACCTAGGATCACGACCTGAGCCGAAGGTAGATGCTTAACGACTGAGCCACCCAGGCGCCCCTAAAGATTTTATTTATTTGAGAGAGAGAGAGAGCATGAGCGGGGATGGGGAGGGGCAGAGGGAGAGGGACAAGCAGACTCCCCAATGAGCAGGGAGCCTGACATGGGGCTCAATCCCAGGACCCCGAGATCGTGACCTGAGCCGAAGGCAGACACTTAACCAACTGAGCCAGGCACCCTGGTTATGTTTATATCTTATTAATTATGTCTATTTCAGTAAATGTATTTCTATTAATTATAGGCACATATATTATTTAAATTTCTATGCTTACTTTTTTTTTCTTCCAAATTAAGTTTCTGTTTCTGTTACTCCAGTACATGGAAACAGCTAGAAAGATTTATACCAAATATGGAGAATTTGTCTGAGACAAACTGACTTAAAATATAGGCTATGTGGCCTCCAATTCACTTTGGAGGGTGTAGGGGAACATCCAACTTAGCAGCCACAACTGGGCTTCAGGTAAAATCAAAATAGTGGTTAAAAAGAAACAAATCAATATGGTGGTTCCCCAAAATATTAAAAATAAAACTACCATATGAACCAGCAATCCCACTTCTGGGTACATATCCAAAGGAAATGAAATCTGGATTTCAAGGAGCTATCTGCAGGCCCATGTTCGTTGCACCATTATTCACGATAGCCAAGATATGGAAATGACATAAGTGTTCACAAATGAATGGATAAAGAAAATGTGTATATATACAATGGAATATTATTCAGCCATAAAGAAGAAGAAAATTCTGCCAGTTTTGACAACATGGATGGTTGTGAAATAAGTGAAATAGCCAGATACAGAAAGACAAATACTGCAAGATCTCACTTACATGTGGAATGGAAAAAAAGCCAAACTCATACAAGCAGGGAGCAGAACAGTGGTTGCCACGGGCAGGGAAGCGGGGGTGGGGGGTGGGGGTGGGGAGATGCTGGTCAAAGGGTACAAAGTTTCAGTTATGCAGGATGAATAAGTTCTGGAGATCTATGTACAGCATGGTGACTACAGTTAGCAATACTGTATTGTATACTTCAAATTTGCTAAGAGAGTAGATCTTAAGTATTCTCACTATAAAAAAAAAAAAAAAGGAGGGGTGCCTGGGTGGCTCTGTCGGTTAAGGGTCTGACACTTGATTTCCAGTGTGGAGCCTATTTAAATTAATTAATTAGTTAATTAAAATAAAATAGGTATATTCATAAGTCAAAAATAAACAGCAATTAAAAATATGTCCTGGGTTGTTCCCGATATGGGCCACCAAAAAGCAACAATGACTACTTTTATATGTAAAACGTGGATGGATCTCAAAAAATTATATTAAGCAAAAGAAGCCAGACACAAAAGACTACATGCACTTACATGAAGTTCTAGAATAGGCAAAATTAATCCATGGTATAAGAAATCAGAACAGTGCTGACAGCTGGGGTGGGCATATTGACTAGAACAGCAGGGATCCTTTGGGGGCACTGGAAATGTGCTCTGTTGTGAGCTGGGCAGGGACTATACAGATGTACATGACAAAACTTCATCAGCTGTACATGTAAGATGTGTGCACTTTACTCTATGCAATGTATACCTTAAAAGAACAAAAAAGAATATGTACTATATTGGCATGTAATGCAATAGTACAAAACTAGATTATTAAATTTACCTAGATACTGTTGCCTGCTGAGGACTCTGAGGTTCATTAAAAAGGGAAATGAACAAATATTAGAGAGGTGTTAAAGACCTATCAGCTCTCTTTGGGGAGGGACCAAGTCTGCCTTCATCACAGTATCCCCAGCGCCTGCCACAGCGTCCAGTAAAGAGCTGGTTCTCAATAAGCTGATGTTGAATGAGTGAATGAATGAGGATGGAAGCCTGCAAGCTGATGGCTTGGAGATGAGCCTCAGGGCTGTGTCAATGCCACTTGGGTGTCCCTCTAGTCCAATCTTCCCCACCCCACCCCTGCCCTAGTCCCAGCCCCAGGGGAGCCATACCTCAAGGAAGTCATCCCCCTCGCTGGGCAAAATCTTGCCCTGCCGCCAACGCTTGAGGAACCACCTGAGCTTCATGAAGAGCAGCAGGAAGTTGTGCTTGAACTGCTGGGACTCCTGCACCAGCATGTTCTTCTCCTGGCTCCAGAATTTCTGCTCCAGCCTCCGCTGGAGGCTCAGACTCTGCAGCTCAAACTCCCGCCTCAGGAGCGCCCTCTGCTGGTCCTCCTTCAGCTGGGAGGGGGACAAGAGTGTGAGCACCCCCAGCTGTCTTCCCAGCACTACCTTTTCCAGTTCCAGGCCTCAGATAAAGACAGAGACGAAAGCTCGGGAGGTGCCTCTTGGTGATCCCTGCCAGGGACTCTACCAATATCAGCTCATTCTGTTGAGATAAACTCCAGGGAAGAGAAATTCATAAAAGGAACAACAATCACAGTTATGGATCATTGAGAAGTGGGATTTGAACCCGGCTCTGCCTCATTATAAAAACCATGACATCACATAATGAGCACATACTGGCTGCCAAAGTTTCACGGGAACTCTCACATCTGATAAGGAACCTGGGAGGGTGAACAATGACGGTAGGAACGGGTGACCCATGTCAAGGGCAAAGGGCACACGAGGAGAGAGAAGATGCAAATCCCGAGGAAGGAATGCAATGTCATGACTGAGAGAGCAGAGACTGGGATTAGAATCTCGCCCTGAAGGTGCAACCTGGGCCACCTGCTTCGGCTCCCTGGGCATCAGTCTTCCCATCTTTAAAATGGGGACACCTCAGGGGAAATCCTGAGGACTAAAGGACATAATGTGTGAAAAGAACATTGCACAGCCCTGACATACAGTAAGGGCTTAATACATGCTTTCTATTAGCAGGACTACCAGCCTGGATTAGCAGCCAGACCTCTGGCCTTTCTGTACAGGTTTTCACCTGTATAGTTGGGAAAAGGAGGCCCAGAGAGGAGACAGGATTGGCCTGAGGTCACACAGGCAGTCAATGACAAGCCCAGGATTCCACCCCAGTAGAGCTAATGCACCATCAAGTATAGCTAGGGCCAGAAGACTCAAGTTTCCCGATACCCTTGCCTTCTGAAGACCCGTGGAGCCCTAAGGTTTCTGCCTTCCTTTCAGGGAAGAGAAGTTGGAGCCGGTGCAGGGGGGTGGGGGTGGGGCACCAGGCATCACCCACCTGGACCATTTTCTGGTTGAAGTTTTCGGCCTCCTCCTTCCGTAGCTGCCGCTCCTGGGAGAGCTGCTCTTGCAGGCCCCGGAGGCTGTCGTGGGCCTCGGCCAGCACCAACTGCAGCTCTTTGATCTGGGATAGGGATGAGGGACACAGAGGGAGAGAGCGGGGGGGGGGAGAGGGGGGATAGAGCTGTGGTCAGAAGATGAGAGTTAACTGGGGTCCAAGCTGTCCCTGGAATACAAATGAGGCACAGTGGCTGACCCTACTTCAGGGGGTTGTCATGACAAACAAAACAGTGCACATCAAATTTAGCTATTATTATAATTTCACCTTGGTAATTTCTCTCTTTGAAATGCATTTGAAGAAAATAACATACTGAGAAAGCTGAGCTTGATTCACAAAGATGTTTGTTGTCTCATTGTTTATAATTACAAAAATTTAGAAACAACTTGGATAAATAAAGGGATTAATAGATGTGGTTGGGCACCTGGGTGGCTCAGTTGGTTAAGCGACTGCCTTCGGCTCAGGTCATGATCCTGGAGTCCCAGGATCGAGTCCCGCATCGGGCTCCCTGCTTAGCAGGGAGTCTGCTTCTCCCTCTGACCCTCCCCCCTCTCATGCTCTCTCTATCTCATTCTCTCTCTCAAATAAATAAATAAAAATCTTAAAAAAAAACAAAAATAGATGTGGTTAACAGGTCTATACATACATAAAAGTCCATTCAACTGTACACTTAAGGATAGTGTCCTTTATTGCACGTATATTATTATGTTATACTTCAATAAAAAATTAGAAAAGATATATACCTCAATAGAAAAACAGAAGGGACATGGACACACACACTTAAATGTGAACAGTGGTTAACTGACAAGCTCGTGATCTTGACTTCCTTCTTTATATCTTTATGCAATGCTGCTTAGGGATTTTGCTGTAGTTATTTGTTGCTTATGAGGTCTACATAATAAAATCTTAAGAAAAAGACAGTAAAACTCTATATGCATTGAGGGGAAATTGTGTTTATAAGTATTTGTAGCTAAACAGGGAAAACTAATGTATTCTGTTAGAAGTCAGGATGACGACTGGACGGGGACCAGAAGGGAGGCGTCAAGGACAGGTCAGGCTCTGCTTGTTAATGTGCTCGCTGATTACATAGGAGTGTTCAGTTTGTAAAAGTCATTTGATCTGTCCACTTACAAGTGCTTTTCTATGCATGTTATACTTCAATTTAAATTTTTTTTAAGTATTTCTAGTAACAGAGGGAAATGTTTATGCTGTCATGTTAAGCAGGAAAAAAAAAAAAAAAGAAATGTCATCTGCCACTCCTACATCAAACCTTCCCAGGCACAGCAAGATGTCCCTCTGTGAAAAAAAAAAACCATTTATTATCTAGCCAATAACATGGAAACTTGGCAATGGAAGGCATTCTGACTTAAGGTATATCTTGTATGCCTATTTTATATTAAAGATCCTTTCAGGGCTGGATACTCCCAGCTACCTCTGGTGTTCTCCTTGGACTCGGTGCCTAACACAGAGTCTGGCAAATTATAACTGCTCAGTAAAGAATGGCTGAATGAAATAATAATTGAGGGGCGCCTGGGTGGCTCAGTCGTTAAGCGTCTGCCTTCGGCTCAGGTCATGATCCCAGGGTCCTGGGATCGAGCCCCGCATCGGGCTCCCTGCTCAGCGGGAAGCCTGCTTCTCCCTCTTCCACTCCCCCTGCTTGTATTCCCTCTCTCGCTGTGTCTCTCTCTGTCAAATAAATAAATAAAATCTTAAAAAAAAAAAAAAAAAAGAAATAATAATTGAATGCATGCAGGTGAGCTGGCCTATCTCCTTTTCTCAGAAAATGAGAACTAAATACTTCATGTTGTGGTTTTTTTTTTTTTTTCCCTTTTTGCCATGGCTGCTAGGAAGCTCAGTCCACTTAAGAGAGTTTGAGCCATCAGCTTCCAGGGAGCTTCTTCCCCTGGGCACTTGCAGACTGGGCTTCCTGGAACCACAAAATTGCCTTCCCATGGATATTCAGAAGAAAAGGCTGCTTAGGTTGGGGCACACACAAGGTTCTCGTGGCTCAGGAGCCTCAAAGAGGCTCCATCCCATCCACAGGAGACTTTTCCTACTTCAGGTTCGTTAGGAAGTGCTGGTAGAGACTCAAAAGGCTTGGGAGGGGCTCAGAACCACCAGGAATTCTCAAGGACCAGGGAATCCTTGAAATTCTACAGCCTCTATCCACTTGAATCCTCCCATGTTACAAATGGGGAAGGTGCAGCTGGAGAATGGGAACATGCCTAAGGCCACAAAGCCACACTGGTGGGTCCCCTGAGGCCCTGAGATTTGTCATCTTCCTCCTCCTCCTCACCCAACAGGGACCAGGCTTTAATAAGGCTTTTCATGCATTTAATCCTTTCAACAGCCCTCTGAGGGATCACCTTTATTGTAAAGGTGAGAAAATGGAGATCAGAGAGGTCAAGTGACTTGTCTACAATCTCACAGCCAGTATATAGCAGTTCCACAATTTGAACCCAATCAGCCTGACTGTAAAGATTGCTGTGCTCCTGCTAAAGAAATGAGTGGTTTCATTAAATGACATAAATTATTAAATTCCCAGTGAAATTTAGTATAGTAAAACAAAATCCATTTCTTCAAGTGAGTTTATAAGCTTCCTTTTATCAGGCCAAGAGAAGGGCCCAAACTTCCTTGTCTCCCTTTTAGTCCTCGTTGCCAGGAAGCATGGAACCAAATGGAATACTCAAAACCCACATCATCACCAGCTAAGCTTCTCCACGGATCGCCCAGCCTCTGGGAGGCCCCAGCCATTCTCCTCCTGCCCTCCCCCTCGCTCGATCAGGCCTAGGCCCACCTCAGAGGCGTAGGAATCATTGTCTTCGGCTCGGTAAGGCCTGAAGTTCCGGCCGGGGTCAGGCTTGGAGTCCAAGTCACCACTGCGGAAGGGCTCTCGTATCCTGGGCTCCCATTCCGGCAGATCCCTGAAGTCAGGCGGCTGTACCCAGAGGCACAGGCAGAAGAGACCAAAGGTAACTATGGGGAGGGGCCCAGGGGGTGCCAGAAGCAGCCCCCACCCTAGGCCCTGAGCTCTAAAAGAGGCTCTGACCACCCACTTGAGGGCTGGGGCCTCAGTGGATTCATCTCTGCAGCCCAGACCTAGGCCTACAACTACTCAGTGAGTGTCTGTCGAAAGGATGAATGAGTAGCTAGGTGGTGAGTGACAACCCTGATCCTGTGTATGTCTGTCTTGTGCACAAACCTTCTGAGCCAGGCTCAATGGTCCTACCACATGTATGGCCCCAGCTCATTCCTACCTCAAGAAGAACCAAGGGGGAGACTTAACATGGGGGGGAGGGGTGTCTGCCTGCTTAGAAAAGCAAGATCAAGCCAGATCAGCAGGGCACAGAAATTACGGCACAACTACACTGTGTAGTTGTCGAAAAGAAAGAGCGAAATCTCTGTACAGACATGGGAAGACCCCTCCCATTGTTCTCCGGATGAAGATGCTCCCTGCAACCCAGCCACCCTCCTTCCCTTTGTCCTCGGGCACGCCATGCTCCTTCCAGCTATGATGCCTTCTCATGGGCTATTCCCTCTGCTTACAACACTCTTTCCCTGTTAATCTACCCTTCTGATCTCAGCTCAGATCAGAGGCCTTCCTTGACCCAGAGACGAGGTCAAGTTGCTTGTTCACAGAACCAAGTGCCCTTCCCTGAGAGCTCTCATATCCGTTTGTCATTCAGTGTCATTCAGTGGCCTGATATTTTGATTAACATCTTTCTTCCCCGGAGGGCAGGAATCAGGTCTGGTTTTGCTCCAGCACCAAGCACAAAAAGCATACAAACAATACATACAGCAGTGTTAAGCGCATGAACCACTACACGTTACACAAGAAAAATCAGTTGTGTGGTAACAGCAGGTATCACATAAAACAAGCTGGGTGAAAAACAAGTTCACGAGAGGCTATGTAGAGAAAGACTTCAAAGGGCATGCTGTGATGATGACATGGTCATGTTCTGGGTGGTGATGACACCATCGTGCTCCCCTCGGGAAAACTCACTCAGCTGTACACTCGTGGGCTGTGTGCTTCTCTGTCCTATGTGTGATTTGGTGAAAAGTTTCTAACAAGAAAAGTAACAGGGCCCGTGACTGGGACATCTTACCTGGAAGTCTGAGCCAAGGTCTTTGGCCAAAAGAATCTCCTTGGAGGGCCCCTGGGAGCCCAAGGCAGGCAGCGCGGGGAAGGGCTCTGGCTGCTCCTTGGCAGAGCTCCCGACCACGGCGTCCGCCTTCCGCGTGAAGGCATTGAGCTCCTGCTGGAGCATGCTCAGCCGCACCAGGATGGCATGGATGAGCTTGGTGTCCCTGGGACCCTCGCTGTTGTCAGGGGCCTCAAGCAGCCGAAAGTCAGCACACTCGTTGTCCAGGTACAGGCGGAGGCCGGCCGAGAAGCCGTTGGCGTCGGCTACCAGGACATCGATGGCCTTGCTGACCAGGGCGGCCTGCTCCCTCAGCCCAGGCAGCGCCTCGGCCTCCCTGGCTCTGCAGAGCCGGGCAGCGTGGGGGCCGTGGGCCTCGCCAAGAGCCGCGGGCACACACTGGGCAGAGTCCCCGGCCTCGGCGTCCGTCTCCAGCATGGGCCGCGTGCTCTGGCAGGAGGCAAGATCACAGCGCTGGAGGTTGGAGAGCAGCACCCGGTTCTCGTACTGCAGCTTCTTGACCTTGCCGCTGAGCTCGCCGATCTGCAGCTTGGCGGCTGTCAGCTCCTCCTGCGAGGGCTCGCTGAGCACGGAGCAGCTGTCCTCCGACAGCGTCACGTCCAGCTCGTGCTCCGAGCGGTACTTGGCCAGCTCGGTGAGCAGCAGCTTGTTCTGCTCCTCCAGCTCTGCCGAGGAGCGCCGGAGCAGCTCGGCCTCCTCCTCCACAAACTGCAGGTGTCGCCGCAGCTCCGCCAGGCTTTCCCCGCACTCGCCGCCCCCCAGCGCCGAGAAGGCCAGGCGCGCCTCCGCGCCGCCGCCGCCTCCGCCGCCGCCGTGATCCTTCATGTCATCCATCTCCGCCCGCAGGCCTCGGTTTTCCACCTCCAGCTCCACGATGCGGCGGCTCAGCAGGTTGGCTTCCTCCTCCACCAGCTTCAGGTGCACCTTCAGCTCGGTCTCCCGGGAGTGGGGCGCATCGGCCAGCTCCTCGGCGGACAGGGCGCTGTCCAGATCGCCGTAGAGCGAGCGGTACTTGAGCAGCTCCTCTTTCATGCTGTCGTTCTCCTTGGCGAGCTTGGTGAGCTTCTTGCACATGAGGGCTGACTCCTCCTTTGCAAAGTGCAGCTGGCACTTCAGGTCCGCGCTGTCCTCCTGCAGCCCAACGGGCACGGGGACAGACAGGACCCACGAGGGTTAGCCACGCGAGGCTCAGTACCAGCCGCTGCATTTTGGGGAGCACTAATTACGTGCTGGGGGACACAGGAATGAGCCGGACAAGGGCCTGACTCTTGAGGAGCAGGGGAAGCAGAGAGGGAGACCTCCTTGACATTGCAGCAAAGATGGAGCACCGCACAGCCTGGGGAATCCTGGAGGGCTTCCTGGAGTAGGCGACATCCTGCCAGGCAACTGTCGCTGCCACTACTGCTACCCTTACTACTAGAGTTTCCTCATCTGTAAAATGGGGCAATAACACTCCCTTCCTTATGGAGCCACGGGGAGGATTCAATGAGATAATGAAGGAAAAGGGCCAGGCACACTGACAATCCAGGACCACGAGAAGCTAACTGTACTCTATGACTGACCTGCGCTACATCTGTATATAGCACTTTATCCATCTGCCAGTGTGAGAACCATGGGCTCAGGGCATTGTTTTGGGAAGTGAAATGAGCATTGAAGCCAAGAAAATGAAAAAGAGGAGGGCGGGGTTGAAGCTGGGGAGGGGTGGGCTTCCCAGGCCACTTGGGAGTTAGGCCTGGCCCTTCAGATTCCAAACTTGCCTGTGGGGGCTGTGGGGGCTGCCAGGAAATACCTGCACCGAAGTCTTCTTGTCTGTCTTCCCCAGGGAGCGGGTTCCTCTTTTCTTCAAGGAATGCTAGAAATTAAAAAACAAAAACACACAAAACTGAAAGCTCATAGGGCTGATGGGCATCAAAGAATAGTCAAGGTGCCTGGGCTTCCACCAAGGGCCTCCTCCTTGCCCAGCCTAGCCCAGCCACGTCCAGGCTTTGACCAACACCAACACCCGAGCCAGAGGGGTCCTCAAGAACACCCAGTGGGCCAGAAGCACATGAGGACTCTGATCACACCTGCCAGGGATCCCCCCCACCTCCCACCCCTATGTTATGATCCAGTTGGCCTGGGCCAAGACCCAGAAATCTGGGTTTCTCTTCTGTGTCTTGCATTCATTCACCAAGGATTTCCTGAGTACCTATTATGTGCCAGGTGGGGCTAGGCATAGAGGACACAGTGGTGACCAAGCCAGACAGGGTACCGGGGGAGGATGCTGTGGTGCTCCACCCATATCCCCGCCTCCTCAGAACTAGGGGACTTGTTCCCCCAACTAAGACCTAAATGATCCCACTGGCTGAGGGCAGCCCCCTCATTCAAGGTCATATGCCCTCCCTAGGGGGAGCCCACATGCAATGACTGGTCCATGGCCTCCTGCCTCAACTCAGAACAACTCTAAACAGCCGTCCCAGCTCCAGAGCTCCCCATGGGATGGGCTGAGGCCATTGGTGTGAATGCTCTGAGGCTCCTTGGTGGCATTATCCCCAAGGGGACTCTTCCATAAGCAGGCAAATCTCCATTTCAGGGGGAATCCTGTCCTCATGGACTTTAATTCGGAATGTATACTAATAAACAAAATGCAAATGGGTAAAACATCACAATTACACAGGAGGGACTGCTCGATTTTTCACAATTTAAATGGTAAGTTTTCATGTAAAACAATGCTATCATAATCATAATTCAAAAATCCAGAACTGATACGGAAAGAAACTGATTTTTTTTTTTTAGAAATTGATACTTTTAATTGGATAAGCAAATTCTACACAGGAAAAAAGTACCCTAAGAAAGTAGAATTATAAATGATGCTGGGAAAAAAATTTGCAATTTATTGCACTGACAAAGGGTTAATATCCTAAATACATAAAGAGCTTCATAAAACAGAAAACAAAAAGGCCAACAAACCTATATTAAAATGTGCTAGAGATATGAAAACTGTTCACAGGAAAAGAAAGGCAAATGGTTTGTAACCATAGGAAGATTTCAACCCTATTCAAGGAGAAATGCAAATTAAAACTACACCCAGATACCATTTCTCACCTATCTGATTGGCAAAAATCCAAACATCTGACAATACATTCTACTGGTGAAGCTATGGAGAAGGCGGAAAAGTCCTATACAACTGGGAAGAAAGCAAAATGGCACAAGCCCTATGGAGGGGAACTTGAGGAAATGTTACAATAATTTTTACTAAAGTTTCTTGATGTTTAAAAAAGTCATTCAGGGCGTGCCTGGGTGGCTCAGTTGGTTAAGAGACAGACTCTTGATTTCAGCTCAGGTCATGATCTCAAGGTCATGGGATCGAGCTCCCCCCCCATCCCCCACAACACGCTCAGCGGGGAGTATGCTTGAGATTCTCTCCCTCTCCCTCTGCCCCTGTGCTCTAATAAATAAATAAAATCTTTAAAAAAACCTTTCAAAGATTTTATTTATTTATTTGACAGAGAGAGTGGCAGTCAGAGGGAGAGTGAGAAGCAGTCTCCCCACTGAGCAGGGAGTCCGACGTGGGGATTGATCCCAGGACCCTGGGATCGTGACCTGAGCTGAAGGCAGACGCTTAACCGACTGAGCCACTCAGGCACCCCTTATATTTTTTTTTAAATAAATTTTAAAAGTCATTCAGTTAGGGGCGCCTGGGTGGCTCAGTCAGTTAAACGTCTGCCTTCAGCTCAGGTCGTGATCCCAGAGTCCTGGGATCGAGCCCCACGTCGGGCTTCCTGCTCAGCGGGGAGTCTGCTTCTCCCTCTCCCTCTGCCTGCCGCTCTGCCTACTTGTGCTCACTCTCTCTGTGTCAAATAAATAAATAAAATCTTTAAAAAAAAAGAAAAAAAATATAAGTCATTCAGTTAGATGCATGAGTCTATTGAACACTCCTTCCCATGAGACGGATGATTTATTAGTGTATAAAACCACACTTAGGTTGCCTTTGACTTTTCAAGTTCAACAAGTATTTTTTGAGAATGCTCCCAGGTGTTTGAATACATCCTTCCCTAGCCCCCCACCTCTCACACCCATCCCTGAAGGTAAGAACCACTGACCTAATCCAAGCCCCCACCTCGCTGAAGGTGGGGGAGAAAGGTCCCACAGCAAATCCATAGCTGACCTGGGGCCAGTTCTTGACCAAGCTCTTGATATAGTTCCCAAGACTTGGGAAGGAAAAAATGTGCCTTCCTTGATGAGGGCCAGAGTGGAGGGAGCACAGTGGTTCTCAACCCCGGGCGCACATCAGAATTAGCTGGGGGAAGTTAAACAAAAAAATGCTGATCCTCCAGGTCCCAGAGATTCTGCTATAACTGGTCCAGGGTGGGTCCCAGGCATCGGTATTTTTAAACAGCTTCCCAGGTTGATTCTATTGCGCAGCCCAGGCTGGAACCAGAGAGCCAGGGAAATGAACTCCAGCTGGGGTCTGAAGTGTATCTTGGAGCCCAATCAAATCCTAAAGAGACCTTTTGAAATTCAAATGAGGCAGGAAGACAGAGGCTGATATTTCAGATGCTGGGTGCCAAGAGCGAAGAGCCAGTATTTGAGAAGGGCTGATCTGGGATCTTTCAAAATTGAGGAGGAGAAGGTAGGAAATGGGGTGATGCCACAAAACAGGTTCCCCCCACAAACAGCCCCTCCCACAAATGGCGCCTGGGAAGGGGTTGCTCAGAGGGACACATGGGCATGGAGTGAGTGGTGAGGTGGGGGCTCTGGGGACAGCTGGTCAGGCTTGCAGATCCAGGGCTGGCTTAGCACAAGCTGAGGGGTAAGGGTGGCCTCAGCTGGGAGCTGAACTCTGGCAACCCCACAACACTGAGTTTATGATCCTGGGCGAACCCCTTCCTCTCCCTACAAAACTGAGCCGCTTCAGGTGACCACAGACTCTTCAAGCACTGCAGACTCCCTGGAGGGAGGAAATGGGGTGACAGGGGGCCAGCGCACTAGGAGGTCCCAGCCACCACATATAAAGGAATGAAATCATATAAAGACTTTTTACAAAGGACGGAGGGGAGTGAGATTTCCGGACATGGTGAAGTCTCTAAGACATCTTGGTAAGGAAAAGAAGGAACTCGCGCAACAAAACCCACAACCCAAATGTCCACCAACTGATAAATGGACAAACAAAATGTGGTATATCCACACGAGGGAATATCGCTCAGCCACCGAAGAAAATGAAGTACTCATACTTGATACCACATGTATCTTGAAAATGTTCATGCTAAGTGAAAGAAGCCAGTCACAAAAGGCCACACAATGTAGGATACCATTTACATAAAATGTCCATAATAGGCAAATCCATAATGGCAGAAAGTAGATTAGTGGTTGCCCAGGGGCTGGGCAAGGCCGCGGAGTGGCTGGGGAGTGACTGTTGATGGGCTTGGGGTTTCTTGTTGGGGCGATGAAAATGTTCTGGACCGAGAAAGTGGTGAAGGTTGTACAACTCTGAATATTCTACAAAATCACTGAACTGTATACTTTAGAAAGACAAACTTTATCGCATGTGAATTATATCTCAATAAAGCTGTTATTAAAAAAAAAACCCTAGAGCATGTTACCATTGTTATAGAAATAAGGGGTGTGCGTGGGTATGTGGGTGTGTGGGTGTGGGTGTGTGTGTGTGCATGCACACAGGCTGGGGAAGGTCTGAAGAATATATTATCAGGCTGTTCACAATGGGAATACAGCAAACTTACACTTGGCCTACTTCTTCCCCCACATTTTTGGGGGGTGGGGTGGGACATAGTTCTCCAGCTTTTCCTTTAAAATTTTTTTCATTACAAAATTTTCTAAAAATTAATATACAAAAATATATTCTCACTATAAATCTACACCACGCTGACAAATCAGAAGCGCCCCCCCCCCCCCCCCCACCGCCAGCCATTCTCCTCCCCACCCTGAGTGTGACCACAGCTGACAGCCAGCTGGAGCTCCTTCTCAACCTTTGGCTCTGTGTTTAAAATACTGAAATAGATGGGGCTCTTTTAGACTTTCTTTCCTTCCTATGTTTACTTGACTCTATGATCTTTGATTTTTATAATAAGCACCTTAGGCAGAAGAAAACCGCAAACATCCAGCATTTTTAAAAAGTCTGTGTTCATGCTACATTATTCTACATGTTACAGAAACCATGGATACAATACAATCCCATCTTCATTTCTAAAAATACATAGAGAAATACACATTGTGTGAACATAGAGAAAAGCCTAAAAAGATACAAACCAACTTGCTAACCATGGGTTAAGCTGAGTCAGGAGCAGAATTGAGGGGGGTGGTTAAGAGAGGCTTCCCTCTTCTTTTTTATGTAGGGTTATTATTTCTATTATTTTGTGGATAACACATTCACATTGTTCAAACTTCAAAACCACAAAAATGGGGGAAGGGGGGCCAAGTGGGGGAAGGGGAGTGAGACACCTAGGCTTTCAGTTATGGAATGAATAGGTCTCAGGGATGAAAGGTACAGCACAGGGAATACAGTCAATAGGGTTGCCTGGAGAGAGATGGTAGCTACACTTACGGTGAGCACAGCATAATGTGTAGACTTGTTGAATCACTATGTCGTACACCTGAAATCAATGTCACGTTGTGTGTCAACTACACTTCAAAAAAAAAAAAAAATCACAAAAAGGAATACAGTGAACCCAAGTCCCCAGTTTTCCTGCCGAGACAAACCAATACACCTGGAGTCTGACATACGCATCCTTAGTGGTAGGCTGGGCCTGCACTGATGTGCTTTTGTAGTGATATTTTTGCTTCACTGAGCTTCTGTTAGGGGAAAAAAAATGCATATAGACCTATACATTTCAATACGTGTGTGCATATAAATAG